AAACGGCTAAGCACCTTCCCTCTTGACAACCAACGCACATTGCTGTGCAAAAGCAGACCAGGATAGTTATTTACAACTTCATCCAGCAGTGTTTTAAACTGGCGATCATTTAAGGCTCGGGCAACAATAAAGTTGATCACACAAATGACCAGCGACATCACTTCGCCAAACTGCCTGTCACACATCTGAGCACAAAGTGCCTCCTGGTGTATAATGCAATGGAAACTTAGGATGGGTCTATTTTCATGTTCACGGAGAAGCGCCACAAATCCTTTGTTTTTCCCCACCATACACGGAGCACCATCAGTACACACTGAGAGAAGTTTATCCATAGGTAGACTTTTTTCTTGAGCAAACTCCATGAAAGACTTGAATAAATCCTCACCTCTTGTGGACCCTTTTAATGGCAGAACAGCAAGACTTTCTTCGCGCAGTGTGTCACCAACAGCATATCTTGCAATCACGCTGAACTGCGACAAATGGCTCACGTCTGTTGACTCATCCAAAGCCAGAGAAAAGAACGGCGCTGCATTTATGTCCTTCACTTGCGTTTCCTCCACTTTGTTTGCCATCACGATGGTATGATCATGAACAGTTCTTGCCGACAGAGGCATGTCTTGTATCCGTTTGATTATCTTGTCTTTGTTCGGAAGATCATCAGAAAGTTCATTGGCTACATCTAGCATGAACGTTTTAGCATACTCGCCATCTGTGAATGGTTTTCCGTTCCTCACTATTGCTAAAGAACCAGCAAAGCTAGCCGAATTATAGTCACCTTGCCGGGTCCATACGCGGAGTTGCTGCTGGCTAGCTTGCACCCTGCTCAGAAGCGCTTGGCACGCTTTCTTTCTGCTGTCTCCCGCAGGGTATTTTGATGCAAAGGTAGCGTGGCGCGTGTCGAAGTGCCGCTTTACATTCGACCGTTTCAACGATGTAATTTTGTCATTGCAAATTAGACACACCGCAGAACCCGCTCTCTCCACAAAGGCGAATTCTTCGGTCCATTCGTCCTGAAATGTACGATACTCGTCGTCTTTTTTTCTTTTCGCCATCTTCTTCGTCGAAGGGTTAGCTTTGAGCTAATGACCGAGCAGACGCAGTCTCAGACTGATTCAAAAGGGGGCGTTTACCTGTTTTACCCAGCAACGGCAAACGTAGGCCAGTATCATCCAATTAAAATAATGGACAATTGCTCCTGCAGCCCTGAACAGGACATGCGCAGTGAAAAATCGATGGATGGATTAAAACAAGTGAGAATATTTTGTTTTATCTGCGAGCCATATGCAATCATCAAAAGAGCCACATCTGGCTCGCGAGCCATAGGTTCCCGACCCCTGAGGTAAAGCCATCACCGGTTGTGGTTCATATACTTGGTTCTTTCGGTAAAGTCACCACGTAGAAGGGAAACAATAAAATAATAAAAATATAAAACAATAAAATGCTCACGACGTTTCGACTGCAACACAAGCAGCAATCATCATCAGGTGTGAAAACCACGGCAAGAAAATTTGTTATTTTGTGGTTGTTTCCATCATCCTCGCCGGGTACTCAGAAAAATTGTTCCGAGTTAGTACCACCCCCCCCGTGTCCCACAATCAGCTGCCCACTTCTAGCCCCGCCCACTCCCCCCCCCCGTGTCCCACACTCAGCTGCCCACTTATAGCCCCGCCCACTGCCCCCCCCCCGTGTCCCACACTCAGCTGCCCACTTCTAGCCCCGCCCACTGCCCCCCCCGTGCCCCACACTCAGCTGCCCACTTCTAGCCCCGCCCACTTCCCCCCCCCCCCGTGTCCCACACTCAGCTTCCCACTTCTAGCCCCGCCCACTGCCCCCCCCCCCGTGTCCCACACTCAGCTGCCCACTTCTAGCCCCGCCCACTGCCCCCCCCCGTGTCCCACACTCAGCTGCCCACTTCTAGCCCCGCCCACTGCCCCCCCCCGTGTCCCACACTCAGCTGCCCACTTCTAGCCCCGCCCACTGCACCCCCGTGCCCCACACTCAGCTGCCCACTTCTAGCCCCGCCCACTTCCCCCCCCCCGTGTCCCACACTCAGCTTCCCACTTCTAGCCCCGCCCACTGCCCCCCCCCCGTGTCCCACACTCAGCTGCCCACTTCTAGCCCCGCCCACTGCCCCCCCCCCGTGTCCCACACTCAGCTGCCCACTTCTAGCCCCGCCCACTGCCCCCCCCCGTGTCCCACACTCAGCTGCCCACTTCTAGCCCCGCCCACTGCCCCCCCCGTGTCCCACACTCAGCTGCCCACTTCTAGCCCCGCCCACTGCCCCCCCCCGTGTCCCACACTCAGCTGCCCACTTCTAGCCCCGCCCACTTCCCCCCCCCAGCCTTACTTCTTCTCCCCCTAGCGCTCACGCAGCCACCCCCCCTTCCCCTGCCCCCCCCCTCTCCCTCCTTGCTCCTCCCCCCTGTCTCACCTAGCTCCTCCCCCCTGTCTCACCTTGCTCCTCCCCCCTGTCTCACCTAGCTCCTCCCCCCTGTCTCACCTTGCTCCTCCCCCCTGTCTCACCTTGCTCCTCCCCCCTGTCTCACCTAGCTCCTCCCCCCTGTCTCACCTAGCTCCTCCCCCCTGTCTCACCTAGCCCCTCCCCCCTGTCTCACCTAGCTCCTCCCCCTGTCACACCTTGCTCCTCCCCCCTGTCTCACCTAGCTCCTCCCCCCTGTCTCACCTAGCTCCTCCCCGCTGTCTCACCTAGCTCCTCCTCCTGTCTCACCTAGCTCCTCCCTCCTCTCTCACCTAGCTCCTCCCCCCTGTCTCACCTTGCTCCTCCCCCCTGTCTCACCTAGCTCCTCCCCCCTGTCTCACCTAGCTCCTCCCCGCTGTCTCACCTAGCTCCTCCTCCTGTCTCACCTAGCTCCTCCCCCTGTCTCACCTAGCTCCTCTCCCCAGTCTCACCTAGCTCCTCCCCCCTGTCTCACCTTGCTCCTCCCCCCTGTTCCACCTAGCTCCTCCCCCCTGTCTCACCTTGCTCCTCCCCCCTGTCTCACCTAGCTCCTCCCCCCTGTTTCACCTTGCTCCTCCTCCCTGTCTCACCTAGCTCCTCCCCCCTGTCTCACCTAGCTCCCCCTGTCTCACCTAGCTCCTCCCCCTGTCTCACCTAGCTCCTCCCCCCTGTCTCACCTTGTTCCTCCCCCCTGTCCCACCTAGCTCCTCCCCCCTGTCTCACCTAGCTCCTCCCCCCTGTCTCACCTAGCTCCTCCCCCCTGTCTCACCTAGCTCCTCCCCCCTGTCTCACCTAGCTCCTCCCCCCTGTCTCACATAGCTCCTCCCCCCTGTCTCACCTAGCTCCTCCCCCTGTCTCACCTAGCTCCTCCCCCCTGTCTCACCTAGCTCCTCCCCCCTGCCTCACCTAGCTCCTCCCCGCTGTCTCACCTAGCTCCTCCCCCCTGTCTCACCTAGCTCCTCCCCCTGTCTCACCTAGCTCCTCCCCCTGTCTCACCTAGCTCCTCCCCCCTGTCTCACCTAGCTCCTCCCCCCTGTCTCACCTAGCTCCTCCCCCCTGTCTCACCTAGCTCCTCCCCCTGTCTCACCTAGCTCCTCCCCCCTGTCTCACCTAGCTCCTCCCCCTGTCTCACCTAGCTCCTCCCCCCTGTCTCACCTAGCTCCTCCCCCCTGTTTCACCTAGCTCCTCCCCCCTGTCTCACCTATATAAACTTTTGCCACGGCAGCTCGCTCTCTCTCTCTCTCCTATTTCACCAATTTTCCTTGCTGTGGTTCTACCGCCTGATGAAGGTCGCTGCGTTGCGATCGAAACGTCGTGATTCGTTTTATTTTATTCACGACGTGATGACTTTACCTAAAGAACCACAGAGTATGGATACCTGCATTGGCGAAAGCTTCAAATCATGATTGACGTTTCGGATAACGCTGCAAAGTATTATCTGTATTTTGATTTAGTGTGCTGATCTTAAAGGTGCATTGAAAAAATTGATACTCCGAGTGATGCTCCTGTTGTTTGTGGAGTGACTCATGCAGGTAGCTGTGGCTCTAGGATTTGGTGTCGCATGTTATTTATGTAGTTTATTGTTAAAAATTCGGTCACAGTCCCTGTGATCGCTGTTACATTGCAATTATGTCTTTATTTTTGTGATTTCGAAAACGTTTTTTGTTTGTTGTAGTAGTTTGTTTTGTTGTAGTACGGAGTTAGACTGATGGCCTTAATCTTAGTTGTCTTGTGGTTGTTGTTGTTGACTGACTTGCATCCCACTGGGATATTTTTGCACACAGCGTTGGTGTTGTACGGTGCTTTTATCAGGAATATTTTGCTGTTTTTTTCATGGATTTTCTGTTTGCACAGTCACACACAAAGTCACTTTAAGATGTTTTATTGTTCGTGTTTTTTCGTGTTTTTGTTTGTTGCGATTCAAGAGCCGAATGGCTCACAGGGCTATACGCAAAATAAATAAGCTGAAAACTGAACTGGAAAGCAATGAAAACAATCCTCGAAAATTCTAGTGACGTCACCGCTCAGAGGAATTATTTCGACGTGACGTCACCACGCACGGCCGAGAGGTGTGTGCGTGTTGACATTAACACGCACAGCGAGGCAGTTGCGTGATGACGTCATCACGTAGTTGGGGACGCTTCCCCCCACATATCGCTCTCTCGTGAGGTCACCACGCACGCACGATGACGTCACCACGTACGCCGACGTCACCACGCACGGAGCAAGACCTTGTCCGTGACATCACCACGCACCGGGCGGGGGGAAAGGGAGTGCCCCTCAGACCTTGAAGATGTCACCACGCACGCACGATGACGTCACCACGCACCGGGCAAGGCCTTGTCGGTGCCGTCACCACGCACGGCGGGGGAGGGGGAAAGGGAGGGGGAGTGCCCCTCAGACCTTGAATACGTCACCACGCACGCACGAAGACGTCACCACGCACGGGGCAAGGTCTTGTCGGTGCCGTCACCACGCACGGCGGGGGAGGGGGAAAGGGAGGGGGAGTGCCCCTAAGACCTTGTATACGTCACCACGCACGCACGAAGACGTCACCACGCACGGAGGAAGGCCTTGTCGGTGACGTCATCACGCACGAGGCGTTTCTCCACCGCGGGCCTTGCCGCTGCAAGCTGCGTAGGCCGTGGTGGTGGAGGAATTTTTATTTAAATCTTTACGCTTTTAATAAACATTTAAGGACCTCGACAAACAACCAAACAACGACAAAACAAAGGAGGAGGTTGTAGTTTGACGTTGCGATGGAGGCAAAATCGTTCACGAGAGAGCTTGATCAGTGGATCGAGCAGCTGTATCAATGTAAGCAGCTTGGCGAGGTGCAAGTGAGGGCTCTGTGTGAAAAGGTGAGCAGCTCACCACTCACTCACCACACACTCACCACTTACCACACACTCACTTACTCAACACTTACTTACTCACCACTTACTCACCACTTACCACACACTCACCACACACTCACCACTTACTACTCACCACATACTCACCACTCACCACGTACTCACCACACACTCACCAACCACACACTCACCACTTACCACTCACCACTTACTACACTCACCACACACTCACCACTTACCACACACTCACCACTCACCACACACTCACCACTCACCACACAATCACCACACACTCACCACTCACTCACCACGTACTCACCACACACTCACCACTTACCACACACTCACCACTCACTTACTCACCACTTACTTACTCACCACTCACCACACACTCACCACACACTCACCACTTACTCACCACTCACCACACACCACGAGAGAGCTTGATCAGTGGATCGAGCAGCTGTATCAATGTTAGCAGCTTGGCGAGGTGCAAGTGAGGGCTCTCTGTGAAAAGGTGAGCAGCTCACCACTTACTTACTCTCCACACACTCACCACGCACTCACCACTCACCACTCACTCACCACTCACTCACCACTTACCACTCACCACACACTCACCACTTACCACTCACCACTTACCACTCACTCACCACTTACCACACACTCACCACTTACCACTCACTCACCACTTACCACTCACCACTTACTTACTCACCACTTACCACTCACCACACACTCACCACTTACCACTCACTCCACCCCACTCACTCACCACTCACTCACCACTCACCACACACCACACACTCACCACTTACCACACACTCACCACTCACCACACACTCACCACTTACTCACCACTTACTCACCACACACTTACCACACACTCACCACACACTCACCACACACTCAGTCACCACTTACCACACACTCACCACTTACTCACCACTTACTCACCACACACTCACCACACACTCACCACACACTCAGTCACCACTTACCACACACTCACTCACCACCTTCTTACTCACCACTCACCACACACTCACCACTTACTCACCACTCACTACACACTCACCACACACTCACCACTTACCACACACTCACTCACCACTTACTTACTCACCACTCACCACACACTCACCACTTACTCACCACACAACACTCACTCACCACACACTCACCACTTACCACACACTCACCACTCACTCACCACGTACTCACCACACACTCACCACACACTCACCACTCACTACTCACCACACACTCACCACACACTCACCACTCACTCACCACACACTCACCACTCACCACACACTCACCACTTACCACACACTCACCACTCACTCACCACGTACTCACCACACACTCACCACACACTCACCACACACTCACCACTTACCACACACTCACTCACCACACTCACCACTCACCACATACTCACCACTCACTCACCACACACTCACCACTTACTCACCACTCGCTCACCACACACCACTCACTCACCACACACTCTCCACACACTCACCACTCACTCACCACACACTCACCACTTACCACTCACCACACACTCACCACTCACCACACACTCACCACTCACTCACCACTCACCACGTACTCACCACACACTCACCACTTACCACACACTCACCACTCACTTACTCACCACGTACTCACCACACACTCACCACACACTCACCACACACTCACCACTTACCACACACTCACTCACCACACACTCACCACATACTCACCACTCGCTCACCACACACTCACCACTCACCACACACTCTCCACACACTCACCACTTACCACACACTCACTCACCACACACTTACCACTCACCACACACTCACCACTCACTCACCACTCACCACGTACTCACCACACACTCACCACTTACCACACACTCACCACTCACTTACTCACCACTTACTCACCACTTACTCACCACACACTCACCACACACTCACCACATACCACATACTCGCCACTCACCACTCACTCACCACACACCACTCACTCACCACACACTCACCACACACCACACACTCACCACTCACCACACACCACTCACCACACTCACCACGTACTCACCACACACCACTCACTCACCACTCACTCACCACTCACCACACACTGACTCACCACTCACTCACTCACCACTCACCACACACTCACCATACACTCACCACACACCACACACTTACCACTCACTCACCACTTTCCACACACTCACCACTTACTCTCCGCACACACACTCACCACGTACTCACCACACACCACTTACTCACCACACACTCACACACTCACCAAACACCAACCACTCACTCACCACACACTCACCAACCACTCACTCACCACACACTCACCAACCACTCACTTACTCACCACTCACCACTCAATCACCATTTACACACCACACACTCACCACTCACTCACCACACACTCACCACACACTCACCAACCACTCACCAATCACCACTGAATCACCATTTACACACCACACACTCACCATTTACACACTCACCACACACTCACCACACACTCACCAACCACTCACTTACTCACCATTCACCACTCAATCACCATTTACACACCACACACTCACCACTCACTCACCACACACTCACACACTCACCAAACACTCACCACACACTCACCACACACTCACCAACCACTCACTCACCACAAACTCACCAACCACTCACTTACTCACCACTCATTCACCATTTACACACCACACACTCACCACACGCTCACCACACACCAACCACTCACCAACCACTCACTCACCACTCGCCACTCGCCACTCAATCACCATTTACACACTCGCCACACACTCACCACTCACCACACACTCACCACACACTCACCACACTCACCACACACTCACTCACCGCTCACCACTTGCTCACCACACACCACTCAATCACCATTCACTCACCACTCGCCAACCACTCACCACTCACTCACCATTCACTCGCCAACCACTCATCACTCACCCACCATTCAATCACCATTCACTCACCACTCACTCGCCAACCACTCACCACTCACCATTCACCACACACTCACCACACACTCATCACTCATTCACTCACCACTTTCCACTCACCACTTTCCACTCACCACTTATCACTCACCACACACTCCCAACTCACCACTCACTCACCACTCAGCACTCACCACACGCACCACTCACTCATCACTCACCACACACTCACCACTCACTATGCTCTACCAATGTAAGCATCTAGGAGAGGTTACAGGTGAGGGCTCTGTGAAAAGGTGAGCAGCTCACCACTCACTCACCACTCATTCACTCACCACCCATTCACTCACTCTCCAGTCACCACTCACTACTCACTCACCACTCACTCACCAATCACTCACCACTCACTCTCTTTGTCTCTCCGTCTCTCTCCAGATGAGTAATGTCCAGGATGTCTGTCTCTCTCCATGTCTCTCACTCTCTGGCTCTCTGTCTCTGTTTCTCTCTCTCTACCTCTCTCTCTGTCTCTCTATCTCTCTGTCTCACTCTCTATCTCTCTGTTTATCTCCCTGTGTCTATCTCTCTCTTTGTGTCTATCTAGGCCAAGGAGATCCTGACCAAGGAGAGTAACGTCCAGGATGTCCGCTGTCCCGTCACCGTCTGCGGCGATGTCCACGGCCAATTCCACGACCTCATGGAGCTCTTCAAGATTGGCGGACGGAGCCCAGACACCAACTACCTGTTCATGGGAGACTACGTAGATCGTGGCTACTACTCAGTGGAGACTGTGTCACTACTGGTGGCACTGAAGGTGTGTGTGTGTCACTGTGTGTGTGTACGACTGTGTGTGTCACCGTGTGTGTGTTTGTCACTGTGTGTGTGTTACCGTGTGTGTGTATCACTGTGTGTGTGTGTCACTGGAGCATCTTCGCCGGTTAGAAACATTTAGGCTGGCCTGCCTACGATCCATCCTGGGTTTAACCAGGCTGGATTGTGTGAGGAGCTCACAAATCCTTGAAAGATCTGGGCAAAGTCCCATCGGTGAGCTCCTCCGGCAGGCAAGGCTGCTTTGGCTGGGTCATGTCGCCCGCATGCCCAGCCACCGCATGCCTAAACAGCTTTTGTTCAGCCGGATAGAGGGGGCTAAACGGGCACGGCACGGGCTAGAGAAGAGATGGAGTGATGTGGTACAGGAGGACATGGAACTGAGTGAACTTGCCGATGACCGGTACCAGCGGTGTCAAGATCGGCCTCTGTGGAGGAGGCTCGTGAAGGACGGTACTGGGCAGTTGGAGGCAGTCGCCCTCCAGCAACAACGGAGGGCGGAGGAGCGACGCTCACAACAACGAGCGGAGCGCCGGGTGGCTAAAGCACAGCAGGTTGGCATAGTAGGGGGCACAGGTGGTGCATCAGCCAGTCGTCTTAGTCGACCTGTGGCACCTGGGTCTGCCCCGTGACCTGCCAGCGGGTGTTCGACACCTCACGTGGCCTCAAGGTGCACATAGCCTAGCACAAGCGTCGTGGTGACGTCACCGCCACTTGGTGGCGAATGGCGGTTGCTGTTGTGTCACTGTCACTACATGTTCATGGGAGACTACGTAGACCATGGATAGGAGACTGCCAAACAACAGGGTGTGGCTCTTCTTCTGAACAGAATAATAAACGGGGCATGGGAGCGTGCCGGTGAGGTGTGGGAAGCTGTAAGCCCCAGGTTACTTTGGGCTCGCCTTCCCATCAACCAGAGGTGAGGAGTGGTGGTCGTGGTTGCTTATGCCCCCACCGAAGACGAACATCCGTGGAGGGATGCAGGCAAAGCCGATGAGTCAGATGCCTTCTATGACCTCCTGTTACAGGTGCTGGCTAAAGTGGCCCCTCGGGATAGAGTCATCTTGTTGGGTGACTTCAATGCCCGAGTTGGTCATGATGCTGGCACCTGGTCTGGAGTGATTGGAAGGCATGGGCGCAACCACACAACATCATGGATGCTTGTCGGGTCCAAGCAAGAACATCTGCTGGACTATATAGCGACGGATCAGCGGATGCGGGCCCATGTCTGCCCACTGACCATCGACTTGTCATCTGGACAAGTCGATGGTCGTTCGACACTTCACGTGGCCTCAACATGCACATAGCCTGGTACAAGCGCCGCGGTGATGTCACTGCCACTTAATGGCGGATGGCACTTGTCACTGTATGGCTAGGGGATGTTATCACCTCCGCCTGGTACGTAGGAGGTCGTGGGTTCAATCTCGTGAGCCAATCTCCCCCTCTCTCTGTCTCTCTCTGTCTCTCTCTACCTCTGTATCTCTGTCTCTCCCTGTGTAGGTGAGGTACCCAGAGAGGATCACGATCCTGCGGGGTAACCACGAGTCTCGTCAGATCACCCAGGTGTACGGCTTCTACGATGAGTGCCTGAGGAAGTACGGCAACGCCAACGTGTGGAAGTTCTTCACCGACCTCTTCGATTACCTCCCTCTCACCGCACTCGTGGACGGCCAGGTGAGAGACGTGGAGATGGAGAGAGCGATATATAGAGAGGGATGGAGATAGTTGGAGATAGAGAGATGGAGATAGATGGAGATAGATATTGTGAAAGAACCAAAGAGTATCGTGTAAGGGGGATAGATCGTGTAAGGGGGTTAGTGTAAGGGACTAGATCAGTGGTTCTTAACCTGGGTTCGATCGAACCCCAGGGGTTCGGTGAGTCGATCTCAGGGGTTCGGCAGAGCCCCCGCCACGGAGGTCCGGACACACTTGAATAATTGTGTAAATTTGTGATGACACACACGGCCCGCTTGGCCATCACTGGCTGCAGATGATCATGCTACACTGCTTGGCCAATCAGCGCTGCGGGGAATTTAGTGCGTACTCAGTAGTCAACGTGTGACTGTTGTTGTCGTACATCGTGTGATTTCTTTAATATTTTATCCATACTAACTATGTCGGGCAAAAGAAGAAAGTGGTCGGACGAATATGTACAACATGGATTCTCATGTATCACGGAACGTGATGGGAGTGAGCGTCCTATCTGCATGATTTGCAACGCCAAGTTGAGCAACTCTAGTCTTGCACCGGCAAAACTAAAGGAACACTTCTTGAAGCTGCATGGAGACGGGGAATACAAGAACACAACACTTGCTGAATTCAGGGTGAAGAGAGCCAGATTCGATGAAAGGGCCACTCTGCCTGCTCTTGGATTTGTACCTGTTAACAAACCGATCCTGACAGCATCGTACGAAGTTGCTTACCTGATCGCAAAGCAGGGCAAGCCACACACCATTGGTGAAACACTTGTGAAACCAGCTGCATTAAAGATGGCGAATCTGATACTCGGAACAGCGGCCGAAGGTAAATTATCCCAAATTCCCCTTTCAAATGACACCGTCAGTGACAGAATAGAAGACATGAGTAAAGACATCTTGGCTCAAGTAGTCGCGGATCTGATTTCAAGCCCGGCAAAAATTCAGCCTTCAACTCGACGAAACCACAGACGTTTCTGATCTAAGCCAGCTTGCTGTTTTTGTACGCTATGTGAAAGACGACATGATAAAAGAAGAGTTTTTATTTTGTAAGCCTCTTACAACAACAACGAAGGCAGCCGATGTGAAGAAGCTTGTGGATGACTTCTTCAGAGACAACAATCTTTCATGGGATATGGTTTCTGCAGTTTGTACGGACGGAGCTCCAGTCATGCTGGGAAGAAAGTCTGGTTTTGGTGCGCTAGTAAAGGCCGATGCACCACACATCATTGTGACGCATTGTATTCTGCCCAGGCATGCGTTGGCAACAAAAACCTTACCTCCAAAAATGGCAGAAGTATTAAAAACTGTGGTGGAATGTGTGAACTATGTGCGAAAAAGTGCTCTGAGGCACCGCATCTTCAGTGAGCTGTGTAAAGAAATGGGCTCTGAATTTGAGGTACTTCTGCTCCATTCTAATATTCGGTGGTTATCCCGGGGACAGGTGCTGAATCGTGTTTTTGCCATGCGTGTGGAATTAGCCCTGTTTTTGCAAGAGCACCAACACTGCCATGCAGATTGCTTCAAAAATCCTGAGTTCATTCTCATTTTAGCGTACATGGCTGATATATTCGCAGCTCTCAATCATCTCAATCAGCAGATGCAGGGTGGTGGAGTCAATATCATGGAAGCGGAAGAACACCTGAAGGCTTTTCAAAAAAAGCTACCGTTATGGAAACGACGAACAGAGAACAATAACTTCGCAAACTTCCCGCTTCTGGACGACTGTGCAAGTAAGATCGAAGATGTGTCTGGAATCGGAGATATTTCTGTATCCACGGAACTGAAGCAAACAATTGCCACGCACTTAGATGAGCTTGCAAAGTCTCTCGACGGATATTTCCCTACAAGAGAGTCATATCCAGCATGGGTGAGACAGCCGTTCACGTTTGCTGTTGAAACAGCAGATGTCAATGATGAATTCCTCGACGAAATCATTGAAATTCAGCAGAGCCAGGTTCAACAGCAACTCTTCAGAACAACAACGCTCTCAACGTTTTGGTGTCGACAAATGAACAAGTATCCAGTTATTGCTAAGAAAGCCCTGGATTTTTTTATACCATTTGTTACAACATATCTTTGTGAGCAATCCTTTTCGAGGATGCTGGACATAAAAACGAAGAAAAGGAACAGACTTTGCTGTGAAAATGACATGAGAGTGGCACTTGCCAAGGTGAAGCCACGCATATCTGAACTGATCTCTCAAAGGCAACAGCAGAAGTCACATTGATTTCCAGGTATGTAATTTGTTGTGAGTTTATGCATTGTGTTGGTTTTATTCTTTGAACAAGGTAATGTTCATGCACGGCTCATTTTGTGTACCAGTAAAAAACATATCTACGTCTTGAATTTGAAAAAAATCAGATTTTATTTTTCACTAAAGAGGGGTTCGGTGAATGCGCATATGAAACTGGTGGGGTTCGGTACCTCCAACAAGGTTAAGAACCACTGGACTAGATCGTGTAAGGAGGATAGATCATGTAAGGGGGTTACATTGTGTAAGGGGGATAGATCGTGTAAGGGTGATAGATCGTGTAAGGGGGTTACATCGTGTAAGGAGGTTAGATCGTGTAAGGGGGTTACATCGTGTAAGGGGGATAGATCGTGTAAGGGGTGTCCAGCCCCCTGAACATCGTTCCCAAGAAGCTGGTCGCCAGTTGCGCGTAGGGCATCCCTGCGGGCGGGCACCCCTGCCCGACGACTCCTCTGGTGACTGGAAGAGGGGGGGGCAGGGGGTTGCCCCGGGTTACCTTCAGGAGGCCTGGATGCGTTTTGCTGCGCGGGAGTTCTACGTGAGAGGTGGGAACCCCCACCTTGGCCAAAGCCAAAGGATTTTTAAGCATCGCGTACAGATGGTCATGGCTGAGCCGGTCGAACGCTCTCTCCTCCTCCTCAAGGAAGGACCGGTTTCGTGGAAGACAATTTTTTTTCACGGACCAGGGGAGGTGGGGGGGTGGTTCATCATTGGGTCTTTCCCCCTTTTCACAGAAGCTCTCGAGCGACGTTTGTTCAACGGTTTTACTTAATATTCTTAGCTCTTTCGGTAAATTCACGTTGAAGGGAAACAATAAAATAATAAAATATATATAAAACAATAAAAATTCTCACGACGTTTCGACCATAACACAAACGGTCATCATCAGGTGTGAAAGCCAACTTGACTTGATTCCTCTGTTTGTCTGGGTCAAATCTTGTAGTCAAAATTTCGTCCACTTCCCGTTGTCCAATCAATTCCACATTTTGCACACGTGCTCACATCCGGTGACAACGCATGCCTGTATGAAAATCGGCATTCAATTAATCAATTAATTTGCTACTTCAAAGCAATTTACATTTTGTATGGACACCTGATTATTTATATATATATTTGTGTAGGTCAAAAACGCAGCGGTCCCTAAATTGTGGAATCGGCTCGCACAAAACGCAGGCGCCGCGTGCCTCAGGCGCCACTGACGCACTTCTCAAAGACCGTGAGTTAAACAAAGTTGTTAATAAAACCACTAAATTTTGATTTAAAGCTTTCGTGACTGCAGGGATTCGTATTCTTGGTTCTTTCCGTAAAGTCACCACCACGTGGAAGGGAAACCACAGCAAGAAAATAAAAATACAAATTTCTTGCTGTGGTTTTCACATCTGATGATGATTGCTTGTGTTGCGGTCGAAACGTCGTGAGAATTTTATCGTTTAATATTTTTATTATTTTATTGTTTCCCTTCTAACGTGTGGTGACTTTACCGAAAGAACCGAGAATAATAAAACCGTTGTTTAAAAAAAAACTAAAACTTTTTTTAAACGAGTTTATTATTTTTTTAACTCATTTTGGCTACTAGGGGTCAGAGCATGTGGGCTCACCAACACCACGTGACTGAGACAAGCGCCCAGTGCGGGAAGGAGGCGCGGACTCACCGCCCACACCTCCTGCTGTGCGGCCCGGTTCCTAACAGGCCACTGAGCAGCGCCGGTCCGCGGAACCGGGGGTTGGGGGGACCCCTGTTGTGGTGTTATCAATCGCCCGCGAGAGTTGAAGTTGCCGCCCCCCTTTTGGATCTTGTCCGAACCTTCCAGAAGGCTCTGAAGGTTCCCATCACCACCACCACCCACCCACCCACCTTTCGAAGTCATCGATTTCCTCGGAGCTGCGCATTGAAACGCCCCAGTGACTGCGTCGCTCGGAAGATGGGGAGGGGGCGGTGGGCGGGGCTAGTTGTACGCGCCCTCAAAGCAGGAGATGATCGGATATAAGCCTTAGGGGGAGAGGGATGTCGGTCTTCCACGGCAAGTTGACGCTGCTGGAATTTCGGTTAAAAAAAAAAACGTCAGTCCAGTCGGGGGTGGTGGTGCGGGGGGGGGGGGGCGACTGTATGCTGTGGGGACAGCAACGAGGAATATTGCCGCTGTGATTGATGCTGCAGGGGCCACGCGTTCACCTACGCTCCTCACAAGGCGTGGTGGTGGTGGTGGTGAATGCTGTAGGGACAGATAGAGACAGAGAGAGATAGAGATAGAGACAGAAAGAGATTGAGAGACAGAGATAGATAGAGACAGAGATAGATTGAGAGACAGAGATAGAGACAGAGATAGAGACAGAGATAGAGACAGAAATAGAGACAGAGATAGAGACAGAGATAGAGACATAGACAGAGACAGAGATAGAGACAGAGATAGAGACAGAGATAGATAGAGACAGAGATAGAGACAGAGATAGAGACAGAGATAGAGACAGAGATAGAGACAGAGATAGAGACATAGACAGAGACATAGACAGAGACAGAGACAGAAATAGAGACAGAAATAGAGACAGAGATAGAGACATAGAGACATAGACAGAGATAGAGACAGAGATAGATAGAGACAGAGACAGAGATAGACAGAGATAGATAGAGACAGAGATAGAGACAGAGATAGAGACAGAGATAAAGACATAGACAGAGATAGAGACAGAGATAGAGACAGAGACAGAGACATAGATAGAGACAGAGATAGAGACAGAGATAGATAGAGACAGAGATAGATAGAGATAGAGACAGAGATAGAGACAGAGATAGATAGAGACAGAGATAGATAGAGACAGAGATAGAGACAGAGAGAGATAGGGACAGAGAGAGATAGAGACAGAGAGAGATAGAGACAGAGACATAGACAGAGATAGATAGAGACAGAGATAGATAGAGACAGAGATAGAGACAGAGATAGATAGAGACAGAGAGATAGGGACAGAGAGAGATAGAGAAAGAGAGAGAGAAAGAGATTGAGAGACAGAAAGATATTGAGAGATGGAGAGGTGCTACTAACAACACTTGCCCCCTACAGCCCAGCTAGAGGCTACCTTGGTGTCTCTGTGTGTCTCTATCCCTCTGCCAGATTTTCTGTCTGCATGGGGGTTTGTCTCCATCCATTGATACGCTGGATCACATCCGTGCCCTGGATCGTCTGCAAGAGGTCCCTCACGAGGTGGGGAGAGACAGAGACACGGGGGGAGAGACACGGAGAGAGACGGGGGGGGGGGGGGGGAGAGACACGGGGGAAGAGACATGGAGAGAGACATGGAGAGAGACACGGGGGGGGTGGAGAGACACGGAGACAGACACGGAGAGAGACACGGAGAGAGACACGGAGAGAGACACGGGTGGGGAGAGATACGGAGAGAAACACGGGGAGAGACATGGAGACAGATACAGGGGGAGAGACACGGAGAGAGAGGCACGGGGAGAGAGACACAGCGAGAGAGAGATGGAGAGAGAGACATGGGGAGGGGGGAGACACAGAAAGAGAGACACGGGGGGGGGGGAGACATGGAGAGAGCCACGGAGAGAGATACAGAGAGAGACACACGGGGAGAGATACGGAGAGAGACACACGGGGAGAGATATGGAGAGAGAGACACGGGGGGAGAGACGGAGAGAGAGAGACACGGGGAGAGATATTTTCTATCTCTCTCTCTCTATCGATCTCTATCTCTCTCTGTCTCTCTATATATCTCTCTATATCTCTCTGTCCCTCTATCTCTCTATATATCTCTATGTATCTCTCTATCCCAGGGTCCCATGTGTGACCTGCTGTGGTCTGACCCTGACGACCGTGGTGGCTGGGGCATCTCTCCGCGCGGTGCTGGCTACACCTTCGGCCAGGACATCTCAGAGACTTTCAACCACAGCAACAGCCTCACGCTTGTCTCACGGGCACACCAGCTCGTCATGGAGGTAACGTAACATCATCGTCGTTAACAACATCGTCGTTAACAACATCGTCGTTAACATCATCATCGTTAACATCATCATCGTTAACTTCCTCATCATCATTATCATCGTTAACATCATCATCATTAACATCATCGTTAACATCATCATCATTAACATCCTCATCGTTAACATCATCGTTAACATCATCATCGTTAACATCCTCATCATCAACATCCTCATCATCATCATCGTTAACATCATCATTAACATCATCATCGTTAACATCATCATCGTTAACATCCTCATCATTAACATCATCATCATCATTGACATCATCATTAACATCACCAAACTCATCTTTCTCTCTCCCCCTCTACTCCCCCTCTACCCCTCCCCCCTCTCTCCTCCCTCTCCCCCCCCCCTTCCTCTCCCCCCCCCTTCACCCCTCTCCCCTCCCCCCCTCCCTCCCCCCCCTCCCTCTCCCCCTCCCTCCCCCCTCCCCCCTCCCTCTCCCATGCCCCCCTCCCCCTCTTTCCCCCCTCCCCCTCTTTCCCCCCTCCCCCCTCTCTCCCCCCCCTGCCCCCCACCCCCCTCCTCTACCCCCCCTCTACCCCCCCACCCCCGCGTGCTGCAGGGCTACAACTGGTGTCACGACCGTAACGTGGTCACCATTTTCAGCGCTCCCAACTACTGCTACCGCTGTGGCAACCAGGCCGCCATCATGGAGCTGGACGATACCCTCAAGTACTCATTGTAAGTACCACCACCGCTAGTACCACTAGTCGTAGTACTAGTAGTGGTAGTATTAGTACTGGTAGCAGTAGTACTGTAAATGTTGTGGATTCACTCTTCAACACCCCGGTGGGCTAAAGTAGTGAACTATTTTGTCTTTTGTCAACGTGACACTTTTTTTTGCTGATTGGCCGTGTCGGGTGGTGGAGGGTTACGACACATTTATAAATAACGCGATCTAATCCAAAAACCTTTATTATGAGTAGTACTAGTAGTCGTGGTAACTAGTAGTAGTGGTTGCTAGTAGTACTAGTAGTAGTGTGAGTACTAGTAGTAGTAATAATACTTCCAGTAGTAATAATGTGGTCCTCTGTGTATTAACAGAATGTCTGTGCGTCTCTCTCCCCTTGTCTCCCTGTGTGTCTCTCCCGCCGTGTCTCCCCGTGTCTCCCCGTGTCTCCCCGTGTCTCTCACTGTGTCTCTCTCCCCGTCTCTCCCCGTGTCTCTCTCTCCCCGTGTCTTTCTCTCTCCCCATGTCTCCCCGTGTCTCCCCATGTCTTCCCGTGTCTCTCACTTTCTCCTCATGTCTCTCCTTGTCACTCTCCTTATGTTTGCCCATGTCTTTCTCGTGTCTCTCCCCATCTCTCCCTGTGTCTCCCCGTGTCTGTCCGTGTCTCTCTGTCCCCGTGTCTCCCTGCATCTTTCTCCCTCTGTCTATCTCTCCGTGTCTCCCCTGTGTCTCCGTTTGTCTCTTTCTCCCCATTTCTCCCTGTGCGTCTCTCTCTCTCTCCATGTCTCCCCCTGTTTCCCCCTGTCCCCATGTCTCCCCGTGTCTTTCTCCCCGTGTCTATCTCTCTGTGTCTATCCCGTATCTCCCCGTGTCTCTTTCTCCCCATTTCTCTCTCCCCGTGTCTCTCACCCATGTCTCCCTATCTCTGTCTTCCCGTGTGTCTCTGTCCCCGTGTCTCTCCCCCTGTCTCTCACCGTGTCTCTCTGTTTCTCCCTGTATCTCTCTCTCTCTCCTTGTCTCTCCCTGTGTCTCCCCATGTCTCTCTGTGTCTCCCAATGTCTCCTTGTGTTTCACTCCCCGAGTCTCCCTGTGTCTCCCCGTGTCTCCCCGTCTCTCTCCGTCTCTCTCTCCCTGTGTCTCCCCGTGACTGTCTCTCCCCATGTTTCCTTGTGTTTCCCCATGTCTCTCCGTGACTCTCCCCATTCTCCCTGTGTTTCCCCGTGTCTCTCTCCCCGTGTATCTCTTCCCGTGTATCTCTCCCCGTTTATCCCCATGTCTCCTTGTGTTGTCCCCCCATGTCTCTCTCCCTATGTCTCTATCTCTCCTCGTGTCTCTCTCTTTGTGTCTCTCCATGTTTCTCAGTGTCTCTCTCTCCATGTTTCTCTCTTCCCGTGTCTCTCTCTCCCCGTGTCTCTCTCTCCCCGTGTCTCTCTCTGTGTCTCCGCCATGTCTCCCCATGTCTTTCTCCTCGTCTCTCCCTGTGTCTCCCCGTGTCGCCCTGTGTCTCTCCGTGTCTCTCTGTCTTTCCCCGTGTCTCTTTGTGTCCTCCCCATGTCTCTCTGTGTCTCTCTCTTTCCCCGTGTCTCTCCATGTCTCTGTCCCCTTGTCTGCCTGTGTCTTTCTCCCCGTGTGTATCTTTCCTTGTCTCCCCCGTGTCTCCCCATGTCTCTTTCTCCCCATTTCTCTCTCTACGTGTGTCTCTCTCCCCGTGTATTTGTTCCTATGTCTCTCTCCCCGTGTCTCTCTTTCTCTCCGTGTCTCCCCGTGTCTCTCTATCCCCATGTCTCCGTGTTTCCCCGTGTCTCTCCGTGTCTGTCTCCGAGTCTCCCCGTGTCTCTCTCTCCCCGTGTCTCCCCGTGACTCTCTCTCCCCATGTCTCCCTGTGTTTCCCCGTGTCTCTCCATGTCTCTCTCCCCGTGTCTCCTCATGTCTCTCTCTCCGTGTCTCTCTCTCTCCCCGTGTCCTATCTCCCCGCATCCCCCATGTCTCTCTCCCTGTGTCTCTCTCTCCCCGTGTCTCATTCTCCGTGTCTCTCTCTCCGTGTCTCTCCACGTCTCTCCCCATGTCTGTCTCCCCGTGTCTCTCTCTCCCGGTATCTCCCCCATGTCTCCTCATGTCTTTCTTTCTCCTCGTGTCTCCCTGTGTCTCACCATGTCTCTTCGTGTCTCTCTCTTTCCCCGTGTCTCCCTGTCTCTTTCTCCCCATTTTTCTCTCTCCATGTGTCTCTCTGTGCCTCTGTCCCCATGTGTCTCTCTCCCTGTGTCTCTCCTCGTGTCTCTCCCCATGTCTCTGTCCCCATGTGTCGCTCTCCGTGTCTCCCCGTGTCCCTCTCCCCGTGTCTCTCTCCCCGTGTCCCTCTCTCCGTGTCTCTCTCCCCGTGTCCCTCTCCCCGTGTCTCTCTCCCCGTGTCCCTCTCCCCGTGTCCCTCTCCCCGTGTCTCTCTCCCCGTGTCTCTCTCCCCGTGTCTCTCTCCCCGTGTCTCTCTCCCCGTGTCTCTCCCCGTATCCCTCTCCCCGTGTCCCTCTCCCCGTGTCCCTCTCCCCGTGTCCCTCTCCTTGTGTCTCTCTCCCCGTGTCTCTCCCCCCGTGTCCCTCCCCCCGTGTCCCTCTCCCCGTGTCCCTCTCCCCGTGTCCCTCTCCCCGTGTGCCTCTCCACACATCCCTCTGCCCGCGTCTCTCTCCCCGCATCTCTCTCCCCGTGTCCCTCTCCCCGTGCCTCTCTCCCCGTGTCTCTCTCTCTCCGTGTCTCCCCGTGTCCCTGTCCCCGTGTCTCTCTCCCCGTGTCCCTGTCCCCGTGTCTCAGTCTGCAGTTCGATCCGGCTCCAAGGCGTGGAGAGCCCCATGTGACACGCCGCACCCCCGACTACTTCCTGTGATTACATCACTTCCTGCCCCATCCCTTCCCCCGCTCTTTGTGACATCACTTCCTGCCCCATCCCTTCCCCTGCCTTTTGTGACATCACTTCCTGCCCCAAGTCTGGCCGACCCTCACCCCTATGATGTCACTTCCTGCCCCACCCCCGATGCCCCCCACATTTTGTGACATCACTTCCCCTCCCCTTACTCGCAAACGCGAAGTCGCTCCCCCTTCTGTGATGTCACTTTCTGCCCCTACTAAACCCCTCCTCCACCGTTGTGATGTCACTTCCTGTCCTTCCCTCTCCCCACTCTCCCCTCTCCCTACTCTGCCCTCTCCCCACTCTCCCCGCTGTCCCCGCTCTCCCCCCTCTCCCCACTCTTCCCTCTCCCCACTCCCCACTCCTCCCTCTTCCCTCCCCTCTTGGTATCTTGTTGGCACTCCCAGGCACCTTAATTATTCGTGACTGATCCCCTCACCCCTCCCCCCAGGGTAGCCCCTCCTGACGAGCCCCTCTCTCCCCCCCCCCCCGGGGATAGCCCCTCCCCCCCCTCTCCTGTAGCAGCTCCCCCCTCCTCACTATCCCCTCTCCCCCTGGAGTAGCCCCTCCCTCTCACTAACCCCCCTGGGGTAGCCCCTCCCCCCTGTAGCTCCCCCCCCCCCCCCTTGTAGCCAATACCCCCTCCTCGCTAGCTCCTTCCCCCAGGGTTAGTTCCTCCCCCCTCCTCACTGGCCCCTCCCCTCCAGGGGTAGCCCCTCACCCTTCTAACGAGCCCCTCACCCCCAGGGGTAGCCCCTCCTTACTAGCCCCTCTCCTTTGGTATGCTGTGGGCGTCGCTCTTTCCCCTCCCATGATACACTGCTGTGTGGTGACGTCACTTCCTGTTGGCGCTGCTGGTTTGACGTCACTTCCTGGCTAGGTGAGATGTCACTTCCTGTTGCCCTGTTTGTGTGATGTCACTTGCTGGTGCGCTGTGGGTGTGATGTCACTTCCCCTAGCTAGGTGTGATGTCACGTCCTGTCAACTGTGAGTGTGACGTCGCGCACATTTATTTGTGACGTGCACAGATTTACACACAGACACACGTACAGACACACGTATAGACACACGGACACACACACAGACACACGTACAGACACGTACAGACACACAGACACGTACAGACAGAGACACATACGTACAGACACATACGTACAGACACACAGACACACACAAAGACAGCGACACAGACACACAAAGACAGCGACACAGACACGTACAGACACACACACAGACACACACACAGACACGTACAGACACACAAAGACAACAAGACACACACACAAAGACAACAAGACACACAGCGACACAGAGCAACAGACACACACACAGACACACACAAAGACAACAAGACACACAGAGACATCAACACAGAGCAACACACAGGCACGCACAGACACACAAAGACATGCACAAACACAGACACAAAGATAACAACACAGAGCAACACAGACACGCAGAGACACGCACAGACACACAAAGACACGCACAGACACACACAAAGGCAACAAGACACACACAGAGACATCAACACACAGACACACACAGACAGCAACACAGAAACACACAGACAAACACAGCAACACACAGACAAACAGAGAAAGCAAAACACACACACAGACACACACAGAGACACACAAACACACTGACACACACAAACACACTGACAGACACCCAAACATACACACGTACATATACATACACTTAGACACACACAGACATAGACACACAGACAGACTGAATAAACTGTCCTAACACTTTGGCTGTCTCTTTTTGTGTCACTGCTGAGGGTTCACAGAGCCAGACTCGGGCTCCCACAGGGTTGAGTGTGAATCATTGAGACTCACTGAGCCAGACTGAGGCTCCCACAGGGTTCAGTGTGAATCACTGAGCCTCACTGCGCCAGACTGAGGCTCCCACAGGGTTCAGTGTGAATCACTGAGACTCAGAGCCAGACTAAGGCTCCCACAGGGTTCAGTGTGAATCACTGAGACAGCCAGACTGAGGCTCCCACAGGGTTCAGTGTGAATCACTGAGACTCACTGCGCCAGACTGAGGCTCCCACAGGGTTCAGTGTGAATCACTGAGACTCAGAGCCAGACTAAGGCTCCCACAGGGTTCAGTGTGAATCACTGAGACAGAGCCAGACTAAGGCTCCCACAGGGTTCAGTGTGAATCACTGAGGCTCCCACAGGGTTCAGTGTGAATCGCTGAGACTCACTGAGCCAGACTAAGGCTCCCATAGGGTTCAGTGTGAATCACTGAGACAGCCAGACTAAGGCTCCCACAGGGTTCATTGTTAATCACTGAGACTCACAACCAGACTATGGCTCCCATAGGGTTCAGTGTGAATCACTTGAGACTCACAGAGCCAGACTAAGGCTCCCATAGGGTTCATTGTTAATCACAGACTCACAGAGCCAGACTATGGCTCCCATAGGGTTCATTGTGAATCACTGAGACAGAGCCAGACTAAGGCTCCCATAGGGTGTATTGTTAATCACTGAGAGCCAGACTATGGCTCCCATAGGGTTCAGTGTGAATCACTGAGACCCACAGAGTCAGACTAAGGCTCCCATAGGGTTCAATGTGAATCACTCAGGCTCCCACAGGGTTTAGTGTGAATCACTGAGATTCACTGAGCCAGACTAAGGCTCCCATAGGGTTCAGTGTGAATCACTGAGGCTCCCACAGGGTTGTGTGAATCACTGAGACACAGAGCCAGACTAAGGCTCCCATATGGCTCAATGTTAATCACTGAAGGCTGAGTCGACCTATGGGAGACCCAGGACCGATTAAGATAATCGTCAATGGTGTTGACCATGAGTAGGAATCAAACCTGGATTTCTGGGCTCGCAGTGCAAGGCGCTAACTGCTACACCACCGCTCCCCACACACACACTCAGACACACACACCCACTCACGTGCACACCCACCCACTCATACCCACTCACACCCCCACACACACACACCTACCCACACACACTTTCACACACACACTCATCCACCCACACACGCATCCACCCACACACACACCGACCCACACACACCCACCCACACATCCACTCACCCACCCACACACCCACTCACACACCCACCCACACCACTCACCCACTCACACCACTCACCAACTCACACCCACCCACACACCCACCCATTCAGCCACCCACACCACTCACACCCACTCAGCCACCGACCCATTCATCCACACACACCACTCACAGGCCAAAGAGGCTCTCCCACCAATTGATGGATCGGATCGCGATTTTAATCATCAAATTCGGCACGCCAATCACACGGAACGAATGGGCGACGCGCAGGGAGCGATGACGCAGCAGTTAGCGCCCACCAGAGACCTGAGTTCGATTCCCCATTCACGGCCTGGTGCCTGCTCTCCCCCCACCCCCCTAGGTCGGCTCGGCCTTAAACGAGTTGGTACCCTGGTGCCAGGCGGTGTGGTCGAATGTCCGCCACTAGGGGGAGACAAAGGCGGTCCGGGCGAGCGTCGCGTGGTGGCTGGAGAAGCCACATTCAATTATACACCCCTCACGTCATGCAAATTAGGTGGGTAGGTGGGTGGGTAGGCGGGTGATTAGGTGGGTGGGTAGGTGGGTGATTAAGTGGGTAGGTGGGTGATTAAGTGGGTGGGTAGGTGGGTGATTAAGTGGTTGGGTGAGTGATTAAGTGGGTAAGTGATGAAGTGGGTGGGTGATTGAGTGAGTGGATGAGTGAGCTCCCTCACCAAGAAAGCTCAACAGAGGATGTACTTTCTACGGCAGCTGAAGAAATTCAACCTGCCAAAGACAATGATGGTGCAATTCTATACAGCGATCATTGAATCCATCCTCACCTCCTCCATAACCGTCTGGTACGCTGCTGCCACTGCCAAGGACAAGAGCAGACTGCAGCGTATCATCCACACTGCTGAGAAGGTAATTGCCTGCAATCTACCGACCCTCGAGGACCTGCACACGACAAGGTCTATGAGGCGAGCGAGGAAGATTATGGCCGATTTCTCCCACCCTGGACACTCTCTGTTTCAGCTACTCCCCTCCGGCAGAAGGCTTCGGTCCATCAGGACCAAAACCTCACGCCATAAAAACAGTTTCTTCCCATCTGCTGCTGGCCTGTTAAACAAGGCCAAGGGCTAACACTGTTTTTAACATTTGATCTACATAACGACACGTTGCTGATATTAACTATGTTTCCCTATTTGTATTTTTAAATTATATCTTAAAGCTATTTTATATTCGATATTTATTTAATTTTATATACTTCAGCCCCTTAGTGTTAGACTTTTAACCCTTATTATAGTAAGACTTGTTTAAAACTTATTTAAGATTTTAGATTCCTATATGTTGAATGTATGCACCATCCTGCCAAAGTAAATTCCGTGTCGGTGTGAACTTACATGGCGAATAAAACCCTTTCTGATTCTGAGTGGGCGGATGAGTGAGTTGGTAAGTGAGCGGGTGGCTGAGTGGGTGAGTGGATAGGTGAGGGAGTAGGTGAGTGGCTAACCATCACATCACTGCATCATCATCGTCGTCGTCATTGCGTGGTGCTTCCAGACTGCGCTGCTGCTTCTGGGGGCCGTCTGGAACGCCCCCCCCCCTTACCGATATGAGGAAGCCACTGGGAGCTGTGGTGCACCTTGACACCACCACCCGCATCAGCTTGAGATTGACAAACTCATTGCTTTACACTTGCCGCTGGTTGTTGTGTTTTTAGTTGTTTGTGCTTAACCGTCGCCACCTATACACTGCTATACACTACTATACGCTACTATACACTATACACTACACTATACACTTCACTGCTATATACTACACTATACACTACTATACACTTTACACTACTGTACACTACACTATTATACATACCGTGCTATACACTACACTACTATATGCTATACACTACACTACTATACACTACACTACTGTACACTACTCTACTATACACTACACTACTATACACTACACTACTATACACCACTACTATACACTGTACTATATACTACTATACTACTATACACTACACTACTATACACTGTACTATACACTACTATACACTTTACACTACTATACACTACACTACTTTACATAAACTGCTATACACTATATTACTATATGCTATACACTACTATACACTACACTACTATACACTACTGTACACTACTCTACTATACACTACACTACTATACACTGTACTATACACTATACACTACACTACTATACACTGTACTATATACTACTATACACTGTACTATACACTACTATACACTTTACACTACTGTACACTACTATACATAAACTGCTATACACTACACTACTATATGCTATACACTACTATACACTACTGTACACTACTCTACTATACACTACTATACTACTATACACTACTATACACTATACTACTATACACTACACTACTATACACTGTACTATACACTACACTACTATACACTGTACTATACACTACTATACATTGTACAATACACTCCACTACTATACACTACACTACTATACACTACACTATATACTGCTATACACTCCACTATACACTACTATACGCTATGCACTACACCACTATACACTACTTTATACTACACTGTACTACACTATACACTAAACTACTATACACTACACTTCTAGAGATTGATAAACTCATTGCTTTACAACTGCCGCTGGTTGTTGTTACTGTTGTTGTGTTTGTAGTTTGCTGTTCTTAACCCCCGCCACCTTCAATTAGCAGCGGTTGGCTACGTACGGTGGTGCCAAAGAAGTTCAACACAGACACACACACAGACACACACACACAGATACACACACACAGATACACAACAACCGCCATTCACCACTAAGTGGCAGTGACGTCACCACGACGCTTGTGCCAGGCCATGTGCACCTTGAGGCCACGTGAACTGTCGAACGCCCGTTGGCAGGTCACGGGGCAGACCCAGGTGCCACGGGTCGACTGAGATGACTGAGATGACTGGCTGATGCATCACCTGTGCCCCCTACTGTACCAACTTGCTGTGCTTTAGCCACCTGGCACTCCGCTCGTTGTTGTGAGCATCGCTCCTTCGCCCTCCATTGTTGTTGGTGGGCGACTGCCTCCAACTGCCCAATAGCGCCCTTCACGAACCTCCTCCACAGAGGCCGATCTTGACACCGCTGGTACCAGTCATCGGCAAGTCCACTCAGCTCCACGTCCTCCTGTACCACATCACTCCATCTCTTCTCTAGCCCGTGCCGCGCCCGTTTAGCCTCCTCGATCCGGCCAAACAAAAGCTGTTTAGGCATGCGGTGGCTGGGCATGCGGGCTACATGACCCAGCCAACGCAGCCTTGCCTGCCGGAGGAGCTCACCGATGGGACCTTGCCCAGATCTTTCAAAGATTTGTGAGCTCCTCACACAATCCAGCCTGGTTAAACCCAGGATGGATCATAGGCAGGCTCGCCTAATTGTTTCTAACTGGCGAAGATGTTCCATTAGGGGGGTCCACGTTTCGCAAGCGTAGAGAAGGGAGGGAATGTCCGTGGCCGAGAAGACCTGAAGCTTAGTGCGGAGCGACGGACCAGGTAGCTTCCACACAGCGTTACGCAACCGATGAAAAGATATTGCCACTCGACTGATTCGTAGTTGAGACCTCTGCTGTTAAACTGGAGCCGGTCATAAGCACACTGCCCAGGTATGGGAAACTCTCCACTCTCTCCACAACTGCCCCATCACCGATTGGGAGTTGTGGGGGTGGAGTGTCCGATGGTACAAAATACCCAGGCAGGTGCTTAGTTTTGGTGGGGCTGATGGTAAGGCCCCATCTCTTAGTGGCACGCTCCACTCTCAGCAGCAGCATCTCCAACTCCTCCTCTGAATGAGCAGCTATTACCAAATCATCGGCGTATTTAACGTGGTTGAGCAATAGGGAGCCATCCCTTGACCGCACCCAGGCATCGATCAGCCTCCCATTATATCTGTACCAAATGGAGATTCCCCCGGTACAGCTATTGAAGGCTTCACGAAGTACGTAGTCAAAATAGATGTTAAATAATGTGGGAGCCAGAGCACATCCCTGTCGCACCCCAAGGTGTATAGGGAATGGCTCTGACTCCCGGCCACGTAGTTTTACCCGGGCCCGCTCACCATCATGAAGGTCCTTAATGATCGTGAGCAGAGGGTCAGGGACTCCAAAACCACGAAGAACAACCCAGAGCCCAGGCCCACTGATGGTATCATAGGCTTTGACCAGGTCAATAAAGCATATTAAATATATAACACACAGACACACACACACAGACACACACACAGACACACACACCGAAACACAGACACACAGACAGACACACACACACACATGCAGAGGGATAGAGTCCGTGGGTCTCTGTGTGTTCAGTCTGTGGGTCTCTGTGTGGTGAGTCTATGGGTCTCTGTGGTCTCTGTGTGTTGAGTTTATGGGTGGTCTCTGTGTGGTGAGTCTGTGGGTCTTTGTGTGGTGAGTCTATGGGTCTATGTGGTCTCTGTGTGTTGAGTTTATGGATGGTCTCTGTGTGGTGAGACTATGGGTCTCGTTGTTGTGAGTCTATGGGTGGTCTCTGTGTTGTGAGTCTATGGGTCTCTGTGTGGTGAGCCTAGAAAATCAGCTTCTTCGGTTTCTCCCAAGTGAATTCTTCCCGGCCAAAGTGTCCATAGGCTGCAGTCCGCTGGTAAATCGGTCTCTTGAGGTCCAATTCCCTACAGAGAGAGATAGAGAGATACAGAGAGAGATACAGAGAGTGAGAGAGATCGAGAGAGACACAGAGAGAGAGAGAGACAGACAGAGACAGAGAGATACAGAGAGAGACAGAGAGACAGATACAGAGATACAGAGAGAGCCAGAGAGACAGACAGAGAGAGATAGGCATCACAAAGACAAAGATCCCCCATATAGCATTAACAGACTCTTGGGGCTAGTGTTGTTAGCAAGCATTGTGCCTATCATCTGGGCATAACTGCTACTTGTTTGCATCTTGATTTGAAGCTTTGGTGGCTGCAGGAATCTATACTCTTTGGTTCTTTCGGTAAAGACACGTAGTTAGAAATAAAATAAAACAAATCACGACGTTTCGATCGCAACACAAGCGGTCGTCATCAGGCAGGAACAGGTTTGCAGATTTGCTGAGCATTTCTGTGAGGTCTTGGGGGAGGGGAAATCCCTCAGCCTGGAAAACATCGTGGCACAAAGTGGGGAATGACGCTGATGAGGCTGCGGTGCCTTAAATATTGGAAGAAGCAGTCGCCCCCTGTGAGTGGCTGGCTGAGGTGCCATCTGTTGAGGAAGTACTGAAGGCGATCCAGAGTCTGAGACCAGGAAAAGCACCGGGCAGAGATGATCTCCCAAGTGAAATGCTGAGGAGGGGTGGCGATTGTGCGCAGACTACCCTACATGACATCATAATAACAGTTTGGACCACTGGACGGGTTCTGCTGGATTTAAAGGATGCCCTGGTGAGGTCCCCCCTTTAAGAAGCGGGACTGCACAGACTGTAACAACTACAGGGGCATCTCACTCCTCATTGTGCCAGGAAAGGTTGTGTCAAGAATGATTCAAAATCGCCTTGCCAGGCACGCTGAGGAGAGGCTTGCAGAGCCCCAATGTGGTTTCAGGAAAGGGCGGTCCTGCACAGATGCCATATCTTCTGTCTGTCTGCTACAGCAGAGGTGCAGGGAATTTCAACAAGACCTACATGACCCTGCTCACAATCATTAAGGATCTTCATGATGGTGGGCAGGCCTGGGTAAAACTACGTGGCCAGGAGTTGGAGCCATTTACTGTTCCACTTGGGGTGCGACAGAGATGTCCTCTGGCTCCCACATTATTTAAAATCTATTTCGACCACGTAGTTCGTGAAGCCTTTGCTGGCTGTACTGAAGGAATTTCATCTGGTACAGATACAATTGGAGGCTGATTGATGCCTGGATGTGATCAAGAGATGGTTCCCTATTGGTCAACCATGTTGTGTATGCTGATGATCTGCTAATTGCTGCTCACTTAGAGGAGGAGTTGGAGACACTGCTGCTGAACCTGGAGCTTGCCACGACGAGGTGGGGCCTTAACATCAGCCCAACAAAACTAAGAACCTGTCTCGGTATTTTTGTGCCATCGGACACTCCACCCCCAAAACACTCAAATGGTGATGGGGCAGTTGTGGAGAGAGTGGAGAGTTTCCCATACCTGAGCTGTGTGCTCATGACCGGCTCCAGTTTAACAGCAGAGGTCTCCATCCAAATCAGTCGAGCAGCATTATCTTTTCATCGGCTATGTAACGCTGTGTGGAAGCTACCTGGTCTGCCAAATGGCTCACAGGGCTATACCAAATAAATGAAAACTATGAAACTATGAAACTGTCGCTCCATACGAAGCTTCGGGTCTTCTCGGCCACGGTCATGCCCTCCCTTCTCTATGCTTGTGAAGCGTGGACCCTCCTAATGGAACATCTTTGCTGGTCAGAAACATTTAGGATGGATGGATTGTGTGAGGAGCAGTCAAGGCTGCGTTGGCTGGGTCATGTTGCCCACATGCCCAGCCACCGCATGCCTAAACAGCTTTTGCTCTGTCGGATAGAGGGGGCTAAACGGGCGCAGCATACGCTAGAGAAGATGGAGTGATGTGGTACAAGAGGATGTTGAGCTGAGTGGACTTGCCAATGACTGGTACCAGCGGTGTCAAGATCGGCCTCTGTGGAGGAGGCTCGTGAAGGATGCTACTGGGCAGTTGGAGGCAGTCGCCCTTCATCAACAATGGAGGGCAGAGGAGCGACGCTCACAACAACGAGCGGAGTGCCAGGCGGCTAAAATGCAGCTAGTTGGCACAGTACTGGGCACAGGTGGTGGTGCATCGGCCAGTCACCTCAGTCAGCCAACCCATGGCACCACTTGGGTGTATCCCGTGACCTCCTGCCAGCAGGCATTCGACACTTCACGTGGCTTCAACGTGCACATAGCCTGGCACAGGCGCCATGGCGACGTCACCGTCACTTAATGGCGAATGGTGGGTATTGGGGTCTGTGTGTCTGTGTGTGTGTTTGTCTGTGTGTGGCTGTGCGTCTCAGTTGTGAGTAGTAGTCGTGGTGAGTAGTATTAGTGAGTAGTAGCCGTGGTGAGTAGTACACTCACCTCACGATGACTCCGGGTCTCAAGTCAAAGTTCGCATTCACGATCTTCAGCAGCTCGGCCTCGGAGCGCTGAGAGGTCCCGAAGTGGAAGATGGAGACAGACAGAGGGTGACTGATCCCTATAGCGTACGCCACCTAGATAGACAAATACATAGACATACATATAGAGACATAGAGATGGACAGAGAGCGATAGAGAAATAGAGACAGAGAAATAGAGACAGACAGATACAGAGGGTGGCTGATTCCAAGGCGTATGCCAACTATCTCTATCTCTCTCTCAGTCTCTCTATATCTCTCTCAGTCTCTCTATCTCTCTCAGTCTCTCTATATCTCTCTCAGTCTCTCTATCTCTCTCAGTCTCTCTATCTCTCTCTCAGTCTCTCTATCTCTCTCAGTCTCTCTATCTCTCTCTCAGTCCCGTAGCCAAACGCTGCGGTGACCTCCAGTGGAGGTTGGCACACTGCACGTTGCCATCGGCCGTGTGGCTCAGCCGAATCTCGCCAGGGGTAACAGACTTGGTGCATTTCCTGCGGTGCCAGGGAGGATCTGCCCCACTAGTACTTACACTGCCAGCGGCTAAAACCAATGTTCCGCCTTTTGGAGGACATCTTCAGGAAACTGTGGGTACCCTTCTACAACAGCAGCTTCGTATATGGGGTGCCTTACCTGGCTAACAAACGACATGACCTCGCCAACTTCGCCTGTGCTCAGGCGAAGATGGCGGTGTACAGAACGAGAAAAAATATGCTGAAAGGTGACACTGACGGCTGCTCTGTGCTGCTTCCAGTGTTCAGGGGCCTGCTTAAGGCGCAGCTCCGGCTGAAGCACGCATACCGCACACATGTCGATGATGTGCACGTCTTCTTTGAACGCTGGGGAGCCGGAAAAGCCCTTTGTACCAGCGTGGACGGCACCGTCATGTTCACCTTCTGAAGCGCTCGCTCGTCAACGTGGCGTGCACAATGACCACCACAACCACGTGACTTTTCTTTCATGTTGTGCGCGGTGCTTTTTAGCGCCACAGCGCGTGGATTTGTAGCGTTTATTTTCATTTGTTTGCTGGTGACTTTGTGTGTTTCATATCGAAATCGCCTCCAGTGCTTTTGCTGCTGGTGGCGATAAAAGTTTTTTAAAAAGTCAAAAGTCTATCTCTCTCAGTCTCTCTCTATCTCTCTCTCAGTCTCTCTCTCAGTCTCTCTCTGCTTGGTTTCGCAGCCTGCGGCCTTTCTGTCTCTCTCTCTCTTTGCCACTCCTTCTCTTACAGCACTCCTCCTTCCGTCTTTCATTCTTCCTCTCTTTCCATTGTCTTATTCCATCATTCTTTCCTCTTCTTCTCTCTTTTAAATACAAATGTTGTTACTTGTTTTTTTGTTTGTCTCCCATCAACCCTTGTTGTACTGCGGCGAGTCCACGATGACACAGCGCGCAAAAAAAGTCCGAGTCTCTCGCTCGGAGGAACGGCTTAGTTTGCCTTCCTCCAGCAGACATCGCGCGTGGAGGACCGCGTGGCAACCGCCGCTGGCGGGGTGGAGCGGCGCGCCGGCCCATGCACGAACCGCGGTGCGGTCGCGTTCGTGGCGAAAAAGGGGATGACGGTGGCGCGCGTCGTCGAGGCCGGGCATGAGGTCAAGGAGGAGCTGTTTGTGCCGTGCGCAGCCTTTGGGCCTCCTCTGCAGTCAAGGTCGTCACCTCCACTGCCCCCACCTTTCCTCAAAAAAAAAACCTCCGATCTAGAACGGGATCTGAAACGGTTTGGCACGGCGGTCTCTCGTCCACGGTGTATTTGAGGTGAGTGTCCAAATTAGCATCTCTGTCGTTAAGCACCGTGAAGGTTTGGCGCTGGAAAAAGAGAGCACGTGCCGCAGCTTCCCGCTGCCGCACCGGCCACAGCGGAGCAGCCACAGAAAGGGGCCCGACAGCCGGGCGGCACGGCAACGTGCGTTACTAACGACGCGCGAGAGACCTGACCGCACCATGCAGAGCGGTCAGCCTGTACGAGAGCGCCTCTCCTTTGCAAAAGTCAACCGGGCAAAAATGTGAGGCGCTCTGTCCGGGGGCCACAGTGCGCAGTGAGCACCCTGAAGCTCCCTTCAGGGGGTAGGGGGTGGGGGGATAACGTAGAAAAATGGAGGGGCATCGAATACCTGAGAGTTACCCCTGGGGAGGGCAGCCGCTGTAGACAACAATAAAATGGGCTTAAGTGCCATTCAAAATATAAGGCAAATGAGAGGCTCGGGGCCCCCGCTTCACACCCCCACCCAAGATGTCACACACAGGGGACACGGGTTCTCAACGTCACCAAACCTGGCAGCGTCTACGCTGTGGCATTAGGCCAAAGTCCTCCACCTACCCAGGCTGGGTGTCTAAGAGGGTCCACTGGAAGGTGTTTGCTGCCCACTAAAGCTCCCAGGGGGGGGGGGGGGTAACGTGGAAAACTGCGGGTACCAAGTACCTGGGGGAGTAGACCTGGGGAAGCTGGCCACTGTACAAAAAAAAATTGGGCTGAAGTGGTTGGCATAAATTAGTCGGGGAAATTACAGCATTGGGCCCATTCCACTCCCCCGGATGTCAACACACACAGGGGACGGCTCCTCGTCATTGACAACCCGGCAGCGTCCGTGCTGTGGCACGAGGCCAAAGTCTTCCACCCACCCAGACCGGGTGTCACAAAGGTGCAGGAGGCTTTCACCCACTCCCGCCTGGCATAGGAAAACACTGGTCAGAGATCCTCTCTGCTTGCCGGCGGAGGAGGGGAGCCAGGGCCCGGCTAGCGTCTCCAAGCAAGGTCGATGTCTTTCAGGCTCCTGGCCATAAAGCGGCTTTGTGTTACGATGCCAGTGGAGCTGCCCGGGAAGTCGCCGGGCCCTCGGTTTGCTGAGACAAACCGGGGGACCGGGTCATGGATGGGAGCTCTTCCTCACAGACCTGGGGCTGGTCGACCAGTAGACGCTGCAAATGCACGACCGCAGTCCGTTGGGACGCGTGGCGTAGCTTCGAGTGGGAGAGGGCGCCTGCACGCTATGACCCAATAATAGCGTTTCCTAAAGGAGCCGTTGTTCGCTAACAATCCCTTTCGAAGCCTACAGAGAGAGAAGACCCTGGGGCCTCACGGTTCATTGCCGCGGGGAGTGAGCCGGCTCGGCGACCTGGTGGACGCTCGCCGGCGGAGGTGGCGGCCAGCTCTGGCGCTCTCCGCAGTGGCGGCCGGACTTCGCTCTGTGCTCGACGGGGGTGAAGCCGTTGCCGTGGGAGGCCCCAGGTGGACGCTGAAGCAACTGGGGCGTGAAGCTGGAGACGCCGGAACGACAGCGGCGGATGCTCCTCCTACTTCCTCCCCCCCACCCCCCCCCGAATGACATTCTCCTGCGCCGAGCCCTCCGACCGCAAGGACACGGGAAAGCTCTTGAAGCTCGAGAGATGCAGAGACTCATCTTCTTTGGTTCTTTCGGTAAGGTCACGTAGAATGAGAATAAAAAAATAAAATAACACAATAAAATTCTCACGACGTTTCGGCCACAACGCAAGCGGCCGTCTTCAGGTGAAAGGTACAGACCTGTCGAGACGACAGAGCTTCGTCCCGACAGGTTTGTACCTTTCACCTGAAAACGGCCGCTTGCGTTGTGGCCGAAACGTCGTGAGAATTTTATTGTGTTATTTTATTATTTTATTCTCATTCTACGTGACCTTACCGAAAGAACCAAAGAAGAGTAATCCTTGCAGTCACGAAAGCTTTAAATCGAGATGCAGAGACGTCTCGTTAAGGGTAGTGGGGCTCACAAACAAGAGCTGTGAACTCGCTGTGTAAAAAGTGCCGCATTTTCAGTGCCTGGAGAAGTTACTGGACACTAAATGGAGAGAATATTTCTCCCCATTGATGGATGCTGGCCCCCAATGGCGTGGAATGTACGAGGCGCCCCCCCCATTGCAAAACGCTGCGGCGACATCCGGTGGAGATTGGCACACCGTGTGACTGCGCCCCTCAGCTGTGTGGGTCAGCCAAGCCTCGGCAGGGACTCCGGGACACCTGCGCGTTCTGCGGACCGAGGGGGGATCTCGCCCACCGAATACCTCGAGAGCGTGAACAGCACGAGCCACCGTTCCGCTTCCTAGGACAAATCTTCAGGAGTGTGGACTCCCCACCCCCCCTTTCCCACGAGAGCCTACGTTTCGTGTACGGAGTAGCCATGACGGGCGGCGACGGGCGGGAACTTTGCGTGCGCCCGGGCAAAAGCTGGCGACGTGCACAATGAGGAAGCGGAGATTGGAAGGCGCTGGTCGTGACTGTGGGGCAACTGGCGAAGCTGAAGGCTCTCGTAAAAAGGCACGGCTAGAGCCCGAGCGTGCGTACTGCCGCCGTGAGTTTTTTTTTTTAAAGCAATGGGGAGGGCGCCCCGAGGAACTTCCTGTGCACAATTGTAAATAATGCACTTCACTACGAGTTCTAATTCCCACTCCCCCCTACTCCACCCCTTCTCTCTCAGAGGTGATGCCCGGTGACGCGTGATGTGAACATGTGTACCGTCACCGGTTGTTGGCATCGACGCTTCCTAGAAGCAATGAAATTTATTATGTAAAAGTCAAAAGTCTCTCTATCTCTCTCTATGTCCCTCTATCTCCCTTTATCTCTCTCCCTTTATCTCTATCTCTCTTTATATTTCTTACCTGTACCAGGACTCTCTGGCACAGCCCCGCCTTCACGAGAGGCTTAGCGACACAGCGAGCAGCGTATGCCCCTGATCTATCTCTCTATCTCTCTCTCTATCTCTCGCTATCTCTCTCTATCTCCGGCTGGAGCACACACGCGTAAAACACACACGCACGTGCCGGTGACACGCGCCCCGCGTCTTCTTCGAACGCTGGGGGGTGAGGGGGCCGGAAAAGCTCCTCCTCTGGTACCGGCGTGAACGGCACCACCCTCCTCCACCTCCTCGTCACCTTCTAACGCACTCCGTCGTCGGCGTGTGGCGACCGCGACCGCCACCGCCACCACGTGACGTTGTGTTGTGTGTTGGGCGTGGCCTATCTAGCGCCATGTGCCACGGCGCGTGGTGGTGGTGGTGTTTTTACTACACGCTTTCTATTAATATAATAACAGGGTTTTCCCCTTTTTTCTGGCAACAAAACTGAAACCTTTTTTACAAGGAATCATGTCTGCATTAACCACAATACCTGCAGTCAAAATGCAAACAAAAAACATACTATGATATTGTGGTTAATGCAGACATGAATCCTTGTAAAAAGGTTTCAGTTTTGTTGCCAGAAAAAAGGGGAAAAATCCTATTATTATATTTTGGTACTGGCAAAGGAGGTCTAATGATGTAGATGCTCACCCTGAGCCCTCATTACTTTGATAGTGCATTGTCTTTGAGCTGTGTAAGCGCCTTCTGGCGTCATCTGGTCGAGCACCAATTGGGTCGAGGCTCAAAAGAAAGCCGTCCCTTGGTGTGGACCAATCAGTTTCAAGGACAATGCATATATTATCATAGTATGTTTTTTGTTTGCATTTTGACTGCAGGTATTGTGGTTAATGCAGACATTAATCCTTGTAAAAAGGTTTCAGTTTTGTTGTCAGAAAAAAGGGGAAAAACCCTATTATTACATTTTGGTACTGGAAAAGGAGGTCTAATGATGCTTCCTATTAACTCACTCTGTCTGTTGTCGTTGTTGTATCCTCATTCTTTTAACCCACTTCCCAATGTGGTATCGACTGCAAACTTGGTATACTTATGTCATACTGATGACAATACTATATTATATCATTAAAAAAAAGATGTAAACAATCTTTTTCACATGTTATGTTTCGGCTTGGCTCTAATTGTCCATGGTAAACTCACGTTGGCTGTAATTGGCCATGGTCCCTTACGTTGTGAAAGCTTCGGGGCCACTTCCCGGAGTCGCGGAGTTCTTCCATTACTAGTACGGTACATTTCATTAAAGCGTGTTTTTAAATATTACTTATTTTATTGTGTTTGTTTTTTTGTTGTTGCTGGAGTGGTTTATTGCCTCCAGTTCTGTTGCTGCTGTGGGAAATAAAAGTGCTTTAAAAGTCAAGTCTATCTCAATCTACGTCTCTTTTTCTCTATCTCTCTATCTCTTTATCTCGCTATGTCTCTCTCACCTGTACCAGGACTCTCTGGCACAGCCCCGCCTTCACGAGGGACTTGGCGACCCAGCGAGCTGCGTATGCTCCGGACCGGTCCACTTTGGAGAAGTCCTTGCCCGAGAAAGCCCCGCCACCGTGCGCACCCCAACCACCGTAGGTATCCACGATGATCTTCCTACCCGTGAGGCCCGCGTCTCCCTGGTGTAGAGAGAGACGTAGAGAGAGAGGTAGAGAGAGGGGTTGAGAGAGAGAGGTAAAGAGAGAGACTGACTTGACTTTTGAATAACTTTCATTGCCGCCAGCAGCAACAGCATTGGAGGCGATTCCAATAGGAAGTACACAGTCACCAGCAAACAAACGAATAATCGCTATAAATCCACGCGCTGACAGAGAGAGAGAGAGAGAGACAGAGAGACATAGAGAGAGACAGAGAGAGGTAGAGATAGATAGGGAGAGGCAAAAATACAGTGTACACGATGATCTTCCTGTCAGATCTGCGTCTCCCTGTGGATGTAGAGAGAGAGATAGACACACACACACAGACATATAAAGAAACACTCACACACTCACACTCACTTACACTCACACAGACATATAGACTGACAGACAGACTGACACACAGACACACACAGACACACAGACACACACACAGGCACACTGACGCACAGACACAGACAGACACACAGACAGACACACACAGACACACACAGACAGACACACACAGACACACACAGACAGACACACAGAGACAGACACACACACAGACAGACACACACAGACAGACACACTGGCACACAGACAGACAGACACACAGACAGACACACATACAGACAGACAGACACACACAGACACACAGACACACACACATACAGACACACAGACAGACACACAGACAGACACACACAGACAGACCTGCGGTCCACCGATGACGAACCTCCCGCTGGGTTGTATGTGGTACACGGTGCGCGCGTCCAGCAGCTGTGCCGGCACCACGACCCTCACGACGAGTCTCAGCAGCTCCACGCGCATTGAGGGCAGCGACTCCTCCTCCCCGTGCTGCACGGACAGCACCACCGTGTGGACTCGTACGGGGACCACGCGGCCGCCGTCTCGACGGTACTGAACCGTTACCTACAGCAGGAAATGGGGCGGGGGGGGGGGGAGATTATGAGTTGGAGAGCGATAGATGGAGACTTTTGACTTTTAAACAACTTTTAATTGCCTCCAGCAGCAACATCACTGGAGGCGATTCTGATGCGAAATACACAAAGTCACAAGCGAAAACAAACGAATAATCGCTTTAAATCTACGCGCTGTGGCGCTTGCTGAGATAGATGGAGATATGTAGAGAGAGATAGAGAGAGATGGAGAGAGAGATGGAGAGAGTGGGAGGGGAGATGATGAAATGGAGAGTGAGATGGGGGAGATTTAGAGAGAGAGATAGAGAGATGGAGAGGATGATAGAGATCGAGGGGAAGAGATGCAGAGAGAGATGGAGAGAGAGATGGAGAGAGAGATGGAGAGAGAGATGGAGAAGAGAGATGGAGGGGAGAGATGGAGGAGAGAGATGGGGGAGAGAGATGGAGAGAGATGGAGGAGAGAGATGGAGAGATGGAGAGAGATGGAGAGACATGGAGGAGAGAGATGGAGGAGAGAGATGGAGGAGAGAGAGGGAGAGAGATGGGGAGAGAGATGGGGAGAGATATGGAGAGAGATGGAGAAATATGGAGAGATGGAGGAGAGAGATGGGGAGAGATGGGGAGAGATAGGGAGAGATGGAGAAAGATGGAGAGAGAAATGGAGAGAGATGGAGGGGAGAGATGGATAGAGAGAGATGGAGAGATGGAGAGATTGAGAGAGATGGAGATAGATAGGGAGAGATGGAGAAGAGAGATGGAGAGAGAGATGGAGAGAGCTGGAGGAGAGAGATGGAGAGAGATGGAGAGACATGGAGGAGAGAGATGGAGAGATGGAGAGAGATGGAGAGACATGGAGGAGAGAGATGGAGGACAGAGATGGAGGAGAGAGATGGAGGAGACAGATGGAGAGAGAGATGGAGAGAGATGGAGGAGAGAGATGGAGAGATGGAGAGAGATGGAGAGACATGGAGGAGAGAGATGGAGGACAGAGATGGAGGAGAGAGATGGAGAGAGATGGGGAGAGATGGGGAGAGATAGGGAGAGATGGAGAGAGATGGAGAGAGAAATGGAGAGAGATGGAGGAGAGAGATGGAGGAGAGAGATAGAGAGAGATAGGCAGAGATGGAGAGAGAGATGGAGAGAGAGAAATGGAGGAGAGAGATGGAGTAGTGAGATGGAGGAGAGAGATGGAGAGAGATGGAGGAGAGAGATGGATATAGAGAAATGGAGAGAGAGATGGAGAGAGAGATGGAGGAGAGAGATGGAGGAGAGAGATGGAGGAGAGAGATGGGGAGAGATGGGGATAGATAGGGAGAGAGATGGAGAGAGAGATGGAGAGAGTTGGAGAGAGATGGAGGAGAGAGATGGATAGAGATGGAGAGAGATGGAGAGAGAGATGGAGGAGAGAGATGGAGGAGAGAGATGGGGAGAGAGACGGAGGAGAGAGATCGAGGAGAGAGATGGATAGAGAGAGATGGAGAGAGAGAGAAATGGAGAGAGATTGGGAGAGATGGAGAGAGAGATAGAGAGAGATGGAGAGAGAGATGGAGAGAGATGGAGAGAGAGATGGAGAGAGATGGAGAGAGATGGAGATAGACAGAGATGGAGAGAGATGGAGAGAGATAGAGAGAGATAGAGAGAGATGGAGAGAGATGGAGCGAGATGGGGAGACAGATGGAGAGAGATGGAGCGAGATGGGGAGAGAGATGGAGAGTGATGGAGCGAGATGGGGAGAGAGATGGAGAGAGATGGAGCGAGATGGGGAGAGAGATGGAGAGTGATGGAGCGAGAGGTTGTAAAGAGAGATGGAGAGAGATAGAGAGAGATAGAGAGAGATGGAGCAAGATGGGGAGAGAGATGGAGAGTGATGGAGCGAGATGGGGAGAGAGATGGAGAGTGATGGAGCGAGAGGTTGTAGAAAGAGATGGAGAGAGACAGAGAGAGATAGAGAGAGATGGAGTGAGATGGGGAGAGAGATGGAGAGTGATGGAGCGAGAGGTTGTAGAGAGAGATGGAGAGAGATAGAGAGAGATAGAGAGAGATGGAGCGAGATGGGGAGAGAGATGGAGAGTGATGAAGCGAGAGGTTGTAGAGAGAGATGGAGAGTGACGTCACAGCATCTTGCCTGCGTCTTGGAGTCTGGCCTCAGCCAGGGCAGAGTCCCGTTCCTCCTCAGCTCGGCCATCCTGGAGTTGAGTTTGTGAGCGAGTGTCATGGTCAGAGGCATGCACTCCTCTGTCTCGTCCGTGGCGTAGCCAAACATCAACCCCTACCATCAACAACATCATCACCATCATCATCATCTACAACAACATCATCATCACCACCACCACCACCATCATCACCATGATCATCACCATTAACGTCATAACCATCATTATCATCATCATCACCGCCACCATCACCACCACCACCACCACCATCATCACCATGATCATCACCATCAACATCATAGCCATCATCATCATCACCATCATCATCACTACCACTACCATCATCATCATCACCACCACCACCATCATCATCATGACCACCATCATCACTACCACTACCATCATCACCATCATCAACATCATCACCACCTCCACCGCCGCAACCAGCACCACCACCGCCTCCACCACCTCCTCTTCCTCATCTCCTCCACCACCACCTCCACCACTTCCTCCTCTACCACCTCTTCTTCCTTCACCTCTTCATCCTCCGCCAGCACCACCACCAACACCACCTCCTCGTCACCTGATCTCCTGCCCCGATGTCCTCCTCCTGGCGCTGGTGGTGAACTCCCTGCGCGATGTCTGGGGACTGCTGCTCCAAAGCCACGAGAATGTTGCACGTCTTGTAGTCAAAACCTGGTGGGTGGGTGAGTGGGTGGGTCTTTTAGTCAAAACCTGGTGGGTGGGTGGGTGAGTGGGTGGGTCCTTTAGTCAAAACCTGGTGGGTGGGTGGGTGAGTGGGTGGGTGGGTCTTGTAGTCAAAACCTGGTGGGTGGGTGAGTGGGTGGGTCTTTTAGTCAAAACCTGGTGGGTGGGTGGGTGAGTGGGTGGGTGGGTCTTGTAGTCAAAACCTGGTGGGTGGGTGAGTGGGTGGGTCTTTTAGTCAAAACCTGGTGGGTGGGTGAGTGGGTGGGTGGGTCTTGTAGTCAAAACCTGGTGGGTGGGTGGGTCTTGTAGTCAAAACCTGGTGGGTGGGTGGGTCTTGTAGTCAAAACCTGGTGGGTGGGTGAGTGGGTGGGTCTTGTAGTCAAAACCTGGTGGGTGGGTGGGTCTTGTAGTCAAAACCTGGTGGGTGGGTGAGTGGGTGGGTCTTGTAGTCAAAACCTGGTGGGTGAGTGGGTGGGTGGGTCTTGTATTCACAGCCTGGTGGGTGGGTGAGTGGGTGGGTGGGTGAGTGGGTGGGTAGGTGAGTGGGTGGGTGAGTGGGTGGGTGAGTCTTGTAGTCAAAACCAGGTAGGTGGGTGGGTCTTGTAGTCAAAGCCTGGTGGGTGGGTGAGTGAGTGGGTGGGTAGGTGAGTGGGTGGGTGAGTGGATGGGTGGGTGGGTGAGTGGGTGGGTGAGTGGGTGGGTGGTTGAGTCTTGTAGTCAAAACCTGGTGAGTGGGTGAGTGAGTGGGTGGGTGGGTGAGTCTTGTAGTCAAAGCCTGGTGGGTGGGTGGGTGAGTGGGTGGGTGGGTGAGTGGATGGGTGGTTGGGTGAGTCTTGTAGTCAAAGTCTGGTGGGTGAGTGGGTGAAATAGTGGGTGAAGGAGTGGGTGGGTGAAAGAGTGGGTAGGTGAGTGGGTGGGTGAGTGGGTGGCTGAGTCTTGTAGTCAAAGCCTGGGTGGATGTGGGTGAGCGGGCGAGCGGGTGAGCGGGCGAGCGGGCGAGCGGGCGAGCGAGTGAGCTGGTGAGCGACTCACCTTTGGCAGAGTCGTCGTAGCCAATGTGCTTGATGGTGTCTCTCACCACCTTCTGGTAGTCGATGATGGCGGTCGAGGTGATCTCCCCACACAGCAGGATCATGCCCGTTTTAGCCACGCACTCTGCAGTACCAACAACATCATCATCGGTAGCAGCAGCAGCATCATTATCATCTTCAATAGTACCAACAACATCATCATCAGCAGCATCATCAGTAACATCATCATCAGTAACATAATCATCATCAGTAACATCATCAGTATCACCATCATCATCCGTAGCAGTATCAACATCATCAGTATCACCATCATCATCAGTAGTAGCAGCATCATCATCATCACTATCATCATCAGTAGTAGCAGCAGCATCATCATCAGTAACATCATCAACATCATCAGTAGTAGCAGCATCAATATCATCATCACCAGTAGTATTAGCAGCATCAACATCGTCAGCATCATCATCATCAGTAGTAGCAACATCATCATCAGCAGCATCATCATCTTCATCATCAGTAACATCAACAGCAGGATCATGCCGATCTTAGCCATGCACTCTGCAGTACCACCACAATCATCACCACCATCATCATCATCATCACCATCATCATCATCACCACCACCACCATTGCCACCATCATCACCACCACCATCATCATCACTACCACCGCCATCATCACCACGACCATCATCGCCACCACCATCATCATCACCACCATCATCACCACTACCATCATCACCACCATCACCACCATCACCACCATCACCACCACCATCATCACCACCATCAGCACCACCACCATCATCACCACCATCACCATCATCACCACCATCAGCACCACCACCACCACCATCACTCACCGCACGCCACTTTGGCGTTGGGATCTTGAGCGAGGTGAGCGTCTAAGACGGCGTCGCTGATCTGATCGCACATCTTGTCTGTGACGCGGGAGAACAAACAAATAGCTCAGAACCGTGGCAATGCCACCAAACACTCTATGGGTCTCTACAGTGAGGGAAAACAGTATTTGATCCCCTGCTAATTTTGGACGTTTGCCCACTGACAAAGAAATGATCAGTCTATAATTTTAATGGTAGGTTTATTTGAACAGTGAGAGACAGAATAACAACAACAAAAATCCAGAAAAACGCATGTCAAAAATTTTATAAATTGATTGACATTTTAATGAGGGAAATAAGTATTTGACCCCTCTGCAAAACATGACTTAGTACTTGGTGGCAAAACCCTTGTTGGCAATCACAGATGTCAGACGATTCTTGTAGTTGGCCACCAGGTTTGCACACATCTCAGGAGGGCTTTTGTTCCACTCCTCTGTGCAGATTTTCTCCAAGTCATTAAGGTTTCGAGGCTGACGTTTGGCAACTCGAACCTTCAGCTCCCTCCATAGATTTTCTATGGGATTAAGGTCAGGAGACTGGCTAGGCCACTCCAGGACCTTAATGTGCCTCTTCTTGAGCCACTCCTTTGTTGCCCTGGCCATGTGTTTTGGGTCATTGTCATGCTGGAATACCCATCCACGACCCATTTTCAATGCCCTGGCTGAGGGAAGGAGGTTCTCACCCAAGATTTGATGGTACATGGCCCCGTCCATCGTCCATTTGATGCGGTGAAGTTGGCCTGTCCCCTTAGCAGAAAAACACCCCCAAAGCATAATGTTTCCACCTCCATGTTTGACGGTGGGGATGGTGTTCTTGGGGTCATAGGCAGCATTCCTCCTCCTCCAAACATGGCGAGTTGAGTTGATGCCAAAGAGCTCCATTTTGGTCTCATCTGACCACAACACTTTCACCCAGCTGTCCTCTGAATCATTCAGATGTTCATTGGCAACTTCAGACGGGCATGTATATGTGCTTTCTTGAGCAGGGGGACCTTGCGGGCTCTGCAGGATTTCAGTCCTTCATGGCGTAGTGTGGTACCAATTGTATTCTTGGTGACTATGCTCCCAGCTGCCTTGAGATCATTGACAAGATCCTCCCGTGCAATTCTGGGCTGATTCCTCACCGTTCTCATGATCATTGCAACTCCACGAGGTGAGATCTTGCATGGAGCCCCAGGCCGAGGGAGATTGACAGTTCTTTTGTGTTTCTTCCATTTGCGAATAATCGCACCAACTGTTGTCACCTTCTCACCAAGCTGCTTGGCAATGGTCTTGTAGGCCATTCCAGCCTTGTGTAGGTTTACAATCTTGTCCCTGACATCCTTGAAGAGCTCTTTGGTCTTGGCCATGGTGAAGATTTTGGAATCTGATTGATTGCTTATGTGAACAGGTGTCTTTTATACAGGTAACAAGCTGAGATTAGGAGCACTCCCTTTAGGAGTGTGCTCCTAATCTCAGCTCATTACCTGTATAAAAGACACCTCGGAGCCAGAAATATTTCTGATTGAGAGGAAGTCAAATACTTATTTCCCTCATTAAAATGCAAATCAATTTATAACATTTTTGACATACTTTTTCTGGATTTCTTTTTTGTTATTCTGCCTCTCACTGTTCAAATAAACTTACCATTAAAATTATAGACTGATCATTTCTTTGTCAGTGGGCAAATGTACATAATCAGCAGGGGATCAAATACTTTTTTCCCTCACTGTATGTATGTCTATGGGTCTCTGTGGGTTCCTGTGGGTCTCTATGTATATCTATGAGTAGGTATGGGTCTCTATGTATCTCTATGGGTCTCTGTGGGTTCCTATGGGTCTCTATGTATCTCTTTGGGTCTATCTCTATGGGTATCTAGGTATCTATATGGGTCTGTATGGGTATCTATGTATCTCTATGGGTCTCTGTGGGTTCCTATAGGTTTCTATGGGTATCTCTGTGGGTCTCTATGGGTCTCTATGTATCTCTATGGGTCTATATCTATGGGCCTCTATGTTTCTCTATGGGTCGCTATGCATCTCTATGCATTAAGAATATTCGGCTGCTGCTACGAATGTCAACATGATAATGATGATGATGTCAGCCTCTGGGTTGAGCTGCTACCACTTCGTGGTGATGGCCACGTACAGTTTCTGAACAAAGAGCTACACAGCAGATCAGTGGCGGCCTTACACCTTGTAACATCAACATAGTTTACGTTTAGTGTGTGCGTCTCATGATGTCAGCCACGTGATGATATCAGCCACTTGAGTATCGGTCTCTGTGGGTCTCGATGAGTATGTACGTCTATGGGTCTCTATGCATCTCTATGCGTGTTAAATTAGATTATGTGACTGCTGATATTCATTTCCACGTGATGATGATGATGACATCAGCCATTGGGTTGAGTTGCTATCACTACGTGGCGTTGGCCAGGTACAGCTTCTGAACAAAACAGTAGCTCAGTGGAGGCCTTACACCTGGTCACATTTAATCGTTTATAGTTTAGATAAATAGTTTAGTCATTTACAACGTCTCCCCCCCCTCTCCGTCTTGTTTACCCAGTTGCGTTATCTTGAATTGATTTTATACTCGCTGCTACTAACAGTACTTGCCCCTAGAGTCCTGCGAGAGGCTATACGGGGTAGCTTTGTCTGTGTGTGTCTGTGTATGTGTGTGAGTGTGACAGCACTTGCTTCTACAGCCCTGTTCGAGGCTACACGGGGGAGCTTTGTCTGTCTCTGCGTGTGTGTAACAGCACTTGCCCCTACAGACCTGTTACAGCCTACACGGGGGATATGTGTCTGTGTCTGCGTGTGTTTGTGTGTAACAGCACTTGCCCCTACAGACCTGTTACAGCCTACACGGGGGATATTTGTCTGTGTCTGCGTGTGTTTGTGTGTAACAGCACTTGCCCCTACAGACCTCTGACAACCTACACGGGAGATCTTTGTCTGTGTCTGCATGTGTGCGAGTGTAGCAGCACTTGCCCCTACAGACCTGCTAGAGCCTACACGGGGGATCTTTGCCTCTCTTAGGTGCTGCTACTCACAGCACTTTCCCCTATAGCTCCGCTAGAGGCTACCTGGGGGATATTGTCTTTGTTAGGTGCTACTACTCGCTACTAACAGCACTGGCCCCTACAGACCCGCTAGAGGCTACACGGGGTAGGTTTGTCTCTGTTAGGTGCTACTGCTAGCAGTGCATTTGCCTCTACAGCCTGCTGGAGGCTACCTGGGGGATACGTTTGTCTGTGCGTGACAGCACTTGCCCCTACACGCCTTGCTGGAGGCTACCTAAGGGAGCTTTGTCTGTCTGTCTGTGCGTGTGACAGCACTTGCCCCTACAGCCCTGCTGGAGGCTACCCGGGGGAGCTTTGCCTCTGGTACCCACCTGGGTGTCCCTCGCCCACCGACTCGGACGTGAAGAGGAACATGGTTCCCTCTTCGCTGGCCCCCGTCGCCTGAGGATTCATCGTCAACTCCGACTGGGACTTTAAATGGGAAAAAAAACAAAAACGAAAAAAAGTAGAAATAATTGGAAATCCATATTCTTTTTTGTATCGTATCTTTAAAAAAAACGACATGCGTGGAACGAAAACCGAGCGCAGGGGCTATCGGAGCGCACGCGCAGGGAGTTGTCAATTGCCGATTCGTCATTGAATCAGGGAGCGGGATCGATGCTTGTCAAACGAAAACGAGCAGACGGCGCTGTGACATGAGCTCGGCAGCTACCGTTCGATTCGCCCATTGCGACGGAAAGAAGGGGTCATTAGATGCGTCGAACAAAAAGATCCGCGGACCCCGCTCAGCCGACGCTCGATTGATCCGGCGAGGGAAAAATCCATCGGGAGGATGCCACCCATCGATTTAGTTTTTCTCACATAGAGAAGAAGAAGAAGAAAAAAACTGATCAATTTGACGCCCTCGCACGAGATGCGGAAGGACGGACGGGGGACGTGGCCGGCGGTGAAAAGGTGCAATGAAAGTGTCGTGAGACAAAGTGTACACAAGCGACGGGTGCATCTTGTACTTTTAATTCGAAGGAAGAAACGTCAAAAGTGGCCCCCTGATCGATACTCAATTTATACGTGAAGGTAGGAACGTCCACAGTTTACGCTGATCGATAATTAGTTCAATGTGAAGGAAGATCGTCCAGTGTTCCCTAATCGATACTCGATAAAATTAAAAGGAATACACCTCCAAAGTTTTGCCGAATTGATGCTCAATGAAATTAGAAGGAAAAAACGTCCAAAGTGGTCCCTAATCGATGATTAGTTAACGATTAAAACAAGGATCGATTTTTTTGATGTCGTTTAAGCAAAAAGGCGAGGAGGAGAAATAAGAAAAATGGCCACCGTCGAGGTCACAATGGGGGAGGGAGGAGGAGGCCACGTGCCGAGCTTCCCACGGGGAGGCCGCCTCGCCCCTTATATAGGGGAGCCCCCGGTGGGGTGGGGGAGGGGTGTCACCGGACCATACCCGTCTACAGCCACGCCCCCAACTGGACCCCCCACCCCAGCCACGCCCCCCCCACTCTTCAGGCACGCCAACCTGGCCACGCCCACTCCTCACCCCACCCACAGCCCCAACAAAAACAAAGATCCCCTGGATAGCCACTAGCAAAGACAAATACAAAGGTCCCCTGGGTAGCCTATAGCAAACACAAAGATACAGATGCCCGTGTAGCCTCTAACAAAGAAAAAGATGCCCCGTGTAGCCTCTTACATAGACAAAGCTCCCCCGTGTAACCTCTTCGGATCTTCTCGTGACCAAGAAGACCCGAAGCTTCGTGTGGAGTGACACACCAGGTAGCTTCTACACAGCATTGCGCGACCGATGAAAAGAAAATGCAGCTCGGCTGATTCGGAGTGAGACCTCTGTTGTCAAAACGGAGCCGGTCATGAGCACACTGCCCAGTTATGGGAAACTCTCCACTCACTCCACAACTGCTCCATCACCAATTGGGCGGTGAGGGGGTGGAGTGTTTGATGGCATAAAATACCCAGGCAGGTACTTTGCTTTGGTGGGGCTGATGGTAAGGCCCCACTTCTTAGTGGCACACTCCAGGTTCAGCAGAAATGTCTCCAACTCCTCCTCTGAGTAGGTCGCAATCACCAGATCATCGGCATACATGACATGGTTGACCAATAGGGAGCCATCACTTGAGCGCACCCGGGCATTGATCAGCCTCCCATTGTATCTGTATCAGATGGAAATTCATCCAGTACAGCCACCGAAGGCTTCAAGAACTACGTGGTCAAAATATATGTTAAATAATGTGGGAGCCAGAGGACATCCCTGTCGCACCCCAAGGTGAATAGGGAATGGCTCCGACTCCTGCCCACCATCATGAAGGTCCTTCATGATTGTGAGCAGAGAGTCAGGGACTCCGACAGCACGAACAACAACCCAGTGCATATGCCTATTGATAATAGGCCTTGATCAGGTCAATAAAGCAGAGATGTCCTGTTGGAATTCCTACACCTCTGCTGTAGCAGACAGATAGAAAATATTGCATCTGTGCAGGACGCCCTGGCCTGAAACCACATTGGGGCTCCACAAGCCTCTCCTCAGCGTGCCTGGCAAGGCGATGTTAAATAATCCTTGCCAGGACCTTTCCCAGCACACTGAGGAGTGAGATGCCCCTGTAGTTGTTATAGTCTGTGCGGTCCCCCTTCTTAAAGAGGGGGACCACCAGCACGTCCTTCCAACCCTGCGGAACCCGTCCACTTATCCAGACTGTTATTATTACGTCATGTAGGGCAAAAGATCGCACCTCAGGTAACTGCTGACAGGGGGTGACTACTTAATACATAGGTTTTCGCGATAGGTGGTAGCGGGTTAAACGACACATTTATATATTTATGCGATCTAAGCCAAAAAACCTGTACTATGGGTGACTACTTCGTCCAATATTTGAGGCTCCGCAGCCTCAGCAGCGTCACCCCCACTTTAACCCATGATGTTTTCCCGACTGAGGGATTTCCCCTCCCCCAAGACCTGACAAAAAGGCTCAGAAAATCGGCAAACCTGGTCGGAAATCGGATCACTGATGATGGTGAAAGTGTGGCACTGCAATACCCTTTTTTGATGGAGTTAAAGAGTGATTTGTGATCGCGGGCTACTCAGGCAAACTCGCGACCACCACCCATTCTTGCAGCACCTCACGGCTCTCTGAACCTCCGAGTGAAGGCTGCATTGAGCCTTCTCATTCTCTGACGTGGGATACTGTAGACGACGAGAGTAGGCCTGTTGCTTTTTCTCAGCCAGCCTGAACGCCTCCTCTGTCAGCCAGGGTCGCTGTGGAGGTTTGTATCCAAAGCAGCCAATGCAGCTGCATGAGTCACAGTTCTAAACCTCGCCCATTTACCCTCGACATCAGGAGGAGTGGGGGACGATGCCAACCCCAGCTGCAAGCAATGATGAAATTCTCGCTTGCAACTTTCCTGAGCTAGCTGAGACCAGGCCACTGTGGGTTTGATGGGATCCTGGATGTATACCCATTACCAGTGTGGAAGAATGGCAGGCACATCTTACAGATGACAAGCCAATGGTCAGTGGGCAGATCAGCTCCACGGTAGGTCCTGGTGCCAAGGACATGGGCCCACATCTGCAGATCCATCACTATGTAGTCCAGCAGATGTTCTCGCTTGGACCCGGCATGCATCCATGATGTTGTGTGGATGCACTGATGCCGAAGCAGCGTGTTGCTAATTACAAGCCCATGGGGTGCACAATAATCTAGCAGACGCCCACTGTTATTATTGAGCTGATCTAGCCCATGCTTTCCAATCACTCCAGACCAGGTGCCAGAATCATGACCAACTAGGGCATTAAAGTCACCCAACAAGATGACTCTATCCCGAGGGGCCACTTTAGCTAGCACCTGTGACAGGAGGTCATAGAAGGCATCTGACTCAACGGCTTGCCTGCATCCCTCCACTGATGTTCATCTTCGGTGGGGGCATAAATAATCATGACTACCACTCCTCGCCTCTGGTTGATGAGAAGGCGAGCCCAAAGTAGCCCGGGGCTTACAGCTTCTCACACCTCAATGCCATGCTCCCACGTCCCCTTCATTATTTTGTTCAGAAGATGAGCCACTCCCTGTTGTTTGGCAGTCTCCTGCCACGAGTAGAGGACTGTGCATCCCTCATGGTGGCAAGAGCCAGAGCCAGTCCAGCAGACCTCCTCAATACCGCAGAGATCCAGGCGGTACCGGTCCAGCTCCCGGCAGTAGAGTGGCAGCCTCTCCTCCGCAGTAAGCATTCGAACATTCCACGTGGCCACCCACAGTGGCTTTTTGTTGTTTTTGGAGGAACCCCGCGGGTAAGGATTCAGTCTCCTAGCTCCGTCAAATGGGGTTTGGAAAGGAGACGTTATTGGCGCCTGTCGCACCGGGGCTTCCAGCACAAGCTTCATTCTATATTTTCCACGTGGTTTAGTTGATGGTGGAGGGGTTACCAGCCCCCTACATCAGTCCAGGGCCCCCGTTTGGCCGCACACACACAGACACACACACAGACACACATACAGATACACACACACAGACACACACACATACAGACACCACCACAGACAAACACACACAGACACACACATATACATACGCACACACACACAGACACACACACGCACACACACAGATATACACACATACACACACAGACACACAGGCACACACACAGATACACACACATATACATACGCACACACACACAGACACACACACGCACACACACAGATATACACACACAGACACACGCGCACGCGGTGGCCTCCTGTGGTTATTGACCACAAAGGCCCCCCCCCCCCCGGCGCTGTGTTTGTTGTTCTCGGTTAATCATTTCGCCTCGTGACATTGCCACGGCGTAACCACCACCCCCCACCCATCGCTCTGTCTACTCGGGCCTCAAACATCGGAGGAATGACGACGACAAATGACGCGGCAACGTTCTCCTCGCACACGATCGGTTCACGTTTTCGTTGCGGCGTTAATGCCTTCGTCATCCCGGGGGGTGGGGGGGGTGTCTTTGTGTGTCTGTGTGTGTGTGTGTATGTCTGTGTGTGTGTGTATGTGTATGTCTGTGTGTGTCTGTGTGTGTGTATGTGTCTGTGTGTATGTCTGTGTGTATGTCTGTGTGTGTATGTCTGTGTGTGTATGTGTCTTTGTGTGTCTGTGTGTGTGTGTATGTCTGTGTGTGTATGTGTGTGTATGTCTGTGTGTGTGTGTATGTGTGTGTATGTCTGTGTGTGTGTATGTCTTTGTGTGTCTGTGTGTGTATGTGTCTGTGTATGTCTGTGTGTGTCTGTGTGTGTATGTGTCTGTGTGTATGTCTGTGTGTATGTCTGTGTGTGTATGTCTGTGTGTGTATGTGTCTGTGTGTGTCTGTGTGTGTGTCTGTGTGTGTGTCTGTGTGTGTATGTGTGTATGTGTGTCTGTGTGTGTATGTGTGTGTGTATGTGTGTCTGTGTGTGTATGTGTCTGTGTATGTCTGTGTGTATGTGTCTGTGTATGTCTGTGTGTGTATGTGTCTGTGTGTGTGTCTGTGTGTGTATGTGTGTGTCTGTGTGTGTGTATGTGTGTCTGTGTGTGTGTGTCTGTGTGTGTATGTGTGTGTCTGTGTGTGTGTGTCTGTGTGTGTGTCTGTGTGTGTGTGTATGTGTCTGTGTGTGTGTCTGTGTGTGTCTGTGTGTGTATGTGTGTGTGTCTGTGTGTGTCTGTGTGTGTGTCTGTGTGTGTGTGTGTCTGTGTGTGTATGTGTGTCTGTGTGTGTATATGTCTGTGTGTGTCTGTGTGTGTATGTGTCTGTGTGTGTGTGTCTGTGTGTGTATGTGTCTGTCTTTGTGTGTCTGTGTGTGTATGTGTCTGTGTATGTCTGTGTGTGTATGTCTGTGTGTGTCTGTGTGTGTGTGTGTCTGTGTGTGCATGTCTGTGTGTATGTCTCTGTGTATGTGTGTCTGTGTGTGTATGTGTCTGTGTATGTCTGTGTGTGTCTGTGTGTGTCTGTGTATGTGTCTGTGTGTGTGTCTGTGTGTGTATGTGTCTGTCTTTGTGTGTCTGTGTGTGTATGTGTCTGTGTATGTCTGTGCGTGTATGTCTGTGTGTGTCTGTGTGTGTATATGTGTCTGTGTGTGTATGTCTGTGTGTGTGTATGTGTCTGTGTGTGTCTGTGTGTGTATGTGTCTGTGTGTGTATGTCTGTGTGTGTATGTCTGTGTGTGTATGTGTCTGTGTGTGTCTGTGTGTGTATGTGTCTGTGTGTGTCTTTGTGTGTCTGTGTGTATGTGTCTGTGTGTGTGTCCGTGTGTGTATGTCTGTGTGTGTATGTCTGTGTCTGTGTGTGTGT